TGACCCACTGCTGCTGACTTAATGAGTCAGATACTTTGTGTAAATGTGATACCTACATCTGATGCTTCTCTATTCCTGCTACTATATTTAGCCTAGGGAAATTGCTTTTTAAAAATATTTTTTGGGGGGTTTTCCTTTTGCTGGAGCCAATGGAAACTGCTGTGAATTTCCTGCCCACCTCCCACCCTCACTTTTTATCTGCGTATGTGGTATACAGTTGTGAACATATAAGATAGGGCTGTGAGTTCATGGAGGTTTGGAAAGCTCTGCAAGGAACATTTCTTGTTGGCTGATGCAAATGGGCTCCCTGATGGAGAGTGCTCAGGTTGTCTGCAAAAACCTTTGACATCACTGTGAGAGCTAATTCTGTCCTTTCCTTGTATTACCTGAATGTCCCACAAGAAAAATGCATACTAGGAAAGATTCCACAGCCAAGTTGTTTATAAAAATTGCTTGCATCAGGAAGGTGTACTTAAAGGTTGTGGAGTGCCATCATAGAACTAAAAATAATACCTTTGAATATGTGTACCATTGCCAATGGCCTCTGCAGGAACCAGCATGAAAACAAACAGGACACTTGATCTCAGCTGGTTGATAGATGGTTTGTACAGCAGTAATTCATGCAGCAGTGAATAGTTTCTATAAATGTCTTGGAAATCAGAATATACTTGTGGATTAAAAAGTTGCTGTGATCATCAAGCCCTGCCTGCTGTTGCAGGGGAAGTAGGGTTTGTGCTGAAATAAGGGTGCTAACAGTTTTGACTTTCTCAACAGCTGGTGTGTGCCAAGCTCTATATGTCCCATGTAAGGTGTTTCTGGAGCTAGTCTTAGTTTGCATGTTGGCACTAGCATTTAAAAACATCTCCAGACAAAGGTGTCTTGAGAACTTGATTTTGCTTTGAAAGCTTCAATTTGGGAAAGGGGTGGAGTGGGTGGAACAGGTGATGTGATCATGATAGAAGTGCAAGTTTGAAGTACTTTGCTTGGTCTACATCCACAACTGGAAGCTGGGAACAAAAAGATCAGTGCTCTCTTCCCTTGCGTTCTTTCCTATCCCTCTGGCTGTAAAATACTGAATGCGGTCTAATAAAGGAGCAGACAAAGGTGGAGGATGGATAGATGGGTGTATGCTCTTGTATGCAATTAATTTTCCATGGTAATTATTTTTATTTTTTTAACTGCTGTAAGATTAAAACCAGCATAAACAGAAAGGAGTAGATACTTTGAGTCTCCTGAGGGCTTAGTAGCCTTACTGGACTTGGAGGCTGCTTGAAGTGGGCGGGTCAGCAACCTGAGTGTTCAATGTCTCCATTCCATGTATTTTACTAGACCAATTTCCTTTGCTAAGACAGAGTATTGATGGGTTCTGAACTTTATTGTTTGGGAAACTGCTGCAGGCTCTGCTGGAGAATGACTTCTTGACTGTCTGGGGAGGAGGAGCTGCTCTAGGGTCACACTGAGCTCAGCTGGGTGTCTGAGCAGGCAATTTAGGCTTCCCTGTGTCATGAAATTGCTTCCATTGTAAAAGAACTGGAGATCATTGAGTCCAACCATTAACCTAATACTGTTAAGTCCATCACTAAACCATCTCCCTGTGTGCCACATCTACACATCTTTTCAATACCTCTGGGGATAGTGACTCAACTACTTCCCCGAGCAGACTGTTCCAATGCTTGACAAGCCTTTCTGTGAAGAAATTTTTCCTAATATCCAATCTAAACCTTCCTGATGCAACTTAAAGCCATTTCCTGAACACTTAAAAGAGATTAAAGAACTAGAAATAGTTAGTTTCTGCTTGTTGAGGAAATGTGCTCTCTAGGGTGGAATGGACTAGAAACCTTTTCAAGCATTTTGAGAGGAAGCCAGTTTTCAGACTTGGATGCTCCCAACTCGCAGAACAGTATCTGTGCCCCACTTGTAAGACTGATGGTTTATGGTCTGACATCTTGCTGAATCCTTGGAGTTGACTGAAGTCTTCATTGCCCTTGTGTATGGCAGACAGGAGAGGGATTCTGGAAAATCAGCATGGGACAGCATTGTAGTAGCTTTTGTTGGGTAGCAGTTAATTTAAGAAAGCAAGTTCAGAAGACTAGTTAATCCTAGAGAAATGACTTTATTGGCAAGAAGGTTATAACCAATTAGTAAGCTACATTAGTTATTAGCTGACAAATCAACATATCTTGTTTCCCTGAGCCTACAAGTTAAAATTACTATTTCATGGCCTAAATCAATGATTGCTGACCAGTAAGGAGATACTGTGATTTATTCACTCCCACCCCTCCAGATAGAGCTTGTTAATTATGGGTCAAACTCAGTGAATCAAGCATGGGGTTGTCTTAAGACAAAATTAAAATATCCATGTTTGTGATGGTTGCTCTGGCACTAGGAGCTGTGTGGCTCTTGGAGTGGTTTGTTGATTTGACTTTTTGTGTGAGCTGGGTGGATCTTATCTTCCCTGTGGCCTCTGGACTTGGCCAATGGCTGGAAGCGGGGAGGAAGCCTGCTGGCAGACAGCCTGCTCTGGGGTGCAGTTGAGCTAAAATTCATGATTGTAGGTGGCCAAAGGTTCTGTCCTGTAAATTAATAATGGCAAAGCTTTGTGTTTCACTATGCTATTCTAGGAAGTGTTTTGTTTGCTTGCCTGGTTTGAAGACCATGGTTTGTATTTTATATCTTTCCTGTGTTTTTTAAAACTGTGTTCACTTCTCTGAAGTCCTGTTTTTCTACAAAGTTCCTCACAGTAAAACAGAAACTTAAATTTAAGAGCTGCATAGGAAAGTCTTTGTTAAGATTGTGTCTTTCCTTTATTCTTTCTGGTTTTTTGAAGCTTATTTTAAGCACAATTCATCCCTGTTGTAACTCAGCAGGATTTTGGTCCATTAACCCCATCCAACTCCACATAATGGGGTTTTGCTTTGCTTTTCTGATTAGCTGGAGGCTCAGGATTAGATAGATTTTCACATCTGCTAACTTCCTGTTTCATATCTTGTGATTTGTGAGGCTTAACCTTTCCTGACTTGTTAATGGATCACAAACCACCTGCTTCTTTAAACTAATCCCTCAGAAATATATAGCATAGCTTTGACTTGAAACACTCCAGTTTGGTTCCTCAGGGTAAAAAGTATGAAAGGATCAATCCCGGTCTGAACAAACCTCTTATTTACGCTTTCCCTGTTCTTCTACAACATGACATCTCCAGTTGTGGCTGTCTGCCTTTTAACTATCAGGAAAGTTTTGTGCCTTTAGTGCCTTGGCCTTCAGGGCATGAGTGGAGAAGGGTAGGGGGAATGGCATAAGTAGAGAGGAGTAGAGTAGTCTAAAGGGGGAGGAGGGCATGTCTCGTGAACGGTTGGATATCTGCTTTGAGCTAGCAATGTTAAGAGTGTGGCAGCTTCAGCCAGGGACTCTGAGCTCGAGGTATTGGTGTGTCAGTCCTCCTTTCTGCTCTCTTCCATTTTAAAATTTATGCTGCTTCTGGCAGTATAGTCTGGTCAGACCCAAGGGAAGGTCATCTGCCTGGGTTAGGCGAGGAGAAGCTGGAGACGTTGCTGGTCCCTGTCAATCCTGAGCTATGCCTGCAGCACTCCCAGCCCTGCCTGCTGCTGGGGTTGTGGCAGGGGGCCTGGAAGGATGCAGCTCTTTTCATGGGCAGCGTGGTGCCAGCGTGTGCTTTGTCCTGTGCATTAGTGTGCACTGCCTGTCTTGAAATGTTGATGATGTCTGTAGGTGAGATTCTGCAATAGATTTCTGTGATGGCTCAGCTTTTTGCCTTTCTGTGTGGCTGCTTCAGCCTGGGTCCTCTACTTGTCTGTCCTGCATGTTTTTCCCCATGACTGATGTCTGTAGCCTGGCATGCCTTGCAGGCAAGCCCCAGTGCGATGATGATGCGAGTGAAGTCCCCACCATGGCAAAGGCTGCTGGCAGTGGAAAAGGGACATCCTGCAGTGCTCCCCTGGCACCACAGCAAAGGAGGAGCTGGGACTCTCCAAACTCTGGCAGCACGTTCTACCAGAGGGACAGGCGAAAAGCAGTTTCTATTTTAGAGGTGAAGTGAGAAATGGGTTACAAGGTCATCAGAGCAATTGTTTTACCTCCTTTTATTCACTTAACAGTGATTTTAGTTACTGGTTGCTACTGCTCTCTGCTACAAGACAAAATGCTGTTACATGTAGATTTAAAATGGTGTGTAGCGTGTTTGTGGAGAGTGGGGAAGGCTTCAGCACCTATGACTGCTGTGGGCTGGTTGTGGTGGGCTGAGGCACTGAGACAATGTGCTAAGGGCAATATTAGTGGGAAGAGGAGCCTCTTCTTCCCTCCCCTCCTAGTCAGCAACTGTTTTTGCTCCCAGTGGAGGTGATTATATTGTTTACCAGGAGTTTACTACTGCTTTTGCAATTCATCTTGCTTAGAGATTTCTGCAAGGCCCCTAAGCAAGTTGCTTATGCAGATATGGCCCTTGGGTCAGTAGTTTTTTGGCATTACATGTCTCATTTTTCAGTTGGCCAGTCACTTCTTGTGCTATACTCAAAACCTTAACCTCTCTACCTCCCCTTCTTCATTCCCTGAGAGCTTTTTTGAAAGATTCCCTCTTTCTTCCTTACCTCCTTACTTTGTTCTGGTCACGCTGTTTTGATGCCCAGTACATAGGGTCACTTTTATGGCGGGGGGCATAATCCATTAGGGCTGTTGCACAAACTTTCATGGTCAACCTTTCTGTTCAGCTTGAACAATCAGAGACTCAGGGCTCCCAGGTGCTGGAAAGGTAATCATGGTACTAGCCCATGGTACTCCTCAGCATAGGAGAGACTTTTAATTCCCCTCTGGAATGTTCTTTTCCTTCATGTTTTCTAGTTAACCCGAGCCCAGTCTGTGAGATTAGGGGATGAAACAGCTTTTTGGGGCTGCTTTTGCTGCTGCTTTTCCAGTAAGGATGGCTCTTTGGTTATCTTTATGCACATGGTCACAACATCTCTTTCTGTTTTTCTGTTTCCTCCATCTAGGTGTGTTGTTGTGCTGTTCAACCCTAGGAAAAATAAGCAACACCATATTCTAAACAGTTCCAGGTGAGTGAAGCTTTAAGCTGGACTTGATTTCTGTGGGAGGTGAATTCAAGGCTTTTATGGTTTGAGTGCAGTGCAGGAGCTGCTGTTGCTTCAGACTAAATCCCCTCAATAAGAGTTGCCTTGGGGACAGGCTGCCTGCTGTTTTGACTTCAGCTCCTTCTAGTGTGAGGTGCTGTTGCTGACAAGGTACTTCCTCATAAACATTGTGATCCCATGAGGAACTGCTAATGGCCATGACAAGGAGGACATCTTACTAGAGCTCCATGATATCTTTTTTTTTCTCCACCTAAAACAATGACCTCATTATTGAAGCCAGCACTGGGACATGGTCCTGCATCTGGAATAAAGGCACAACAATGAACCTCAAGTTTTGGAGCTTTTCCAGTGCCGTAGGCTGCTGCTTGAGACTTGGGCAGCAGGGAATCCTCCTGGCAAAGCAAAAATCATTATGTCAGGCTATTATGGGTGATTTTAGGCTCTTTTCAATTCATCCCAACCTACTCCCTAGTCATGATGTATTGAAATGAAATCACATGTTGGAAATGTTTCTCAGTGTCATTTTCTCTGTTTTAGGAAAACAATTACAGCACTTGCTTTCTCTCCAGATGGCAAATATTTGGTTACAGGAGAGGTAAGTGTGAGAGGAGAAAGGGCACACCTTTTCCATTGCACTTTGAAGCAGGGCAGAGGGGCTTAGAAGAAACAGGCCAGTGAACTGCTTTGACACAGACAAATCAGTTTCAATGTTCCATCAATGTTCAGTGGACCTGCTGGGTTACGGGGGGCATTGGGCAGATTTCAGTCTCTCATCAGCTTGGGGGATGGATCTTCTGGGGTGGCATCTGTGGGCTGAAGGTAGAGTGAAAATAAGTGGAAGGATACACAGCATGGCTCTACTCTAACATCAATGGAGAGTACTTGGATGGTCCTGAATCTTGGTCTGAGTTTAGCATTGTCCCTTTAGGATTTCAGGAAGTAACTGAAGCCAGTAACAGCTTTGTGGAAAAAATGAAGTGTGTGTGGAGTGGAGCTTTAGGAATAGTGATAGAAGATACTGGTGTCTGTGGTTTGGCATTGCATGTTTGGCTGGGGGGCAAAAACTGCTTCCTCTTTCCAAATGTGCCCAAGGGGGAGAATAAGGATGAGTGCACTCTGTGTCTGTTCTGCATTAGGAGTTCAAGACACAGGCTGTGTCATGAGGCTGGAATTGCTGGATGTTAAAAATCCACAGAAATGCTTACCTCCATATGGTTGGGCTCAGATTGCTCTTTTGTGTGATTAATGGCAATTTACCACTAGTCTCTGTGTAACACATGGGGAGTGAGCATGTGTGAAACAGGTTCCCTTCTGAACCTCAGCCACAGGGAAGAGAAGTATGTCACAGTCCTGTGTTGGAGCTGTCAAGACAGAGACTCTTTGCTCCAGAGGTCCCTAGTGCAGTCACCGTAATTGCAGCTGTCATGTCTCTGCGGGGCTCCAAAGCTGGGCTTGAATTCTGCATGGATCAGACCAAGGGTAGAAACAACGTGGGGTTTTTTGGATGGAGGCTACCATGACACAGAAAAAGTAAGCACAAATTTTCCATCATTAGATCAGAGATTGTTGTTGTTATTAACTTTTTAGTGAAAACATGAGGTTTTATAGCTGTAATATGTTTTAATGCCTCCTTACTCTCTAGAAATCTGAATGTAATAAACTCTCTTAATATTGAAGTTCTAATATGTATGATATACATATTTTCTTCATGGTGTTCAGTTCTAATGGTTCTGGTGCCTTCTTTTATTTTCCCTTTTTTTTTGTTTTTATTTCTGGTGCTCAGTTCCTTTCATGTGGGGTAGGAATAGTGGTAAAAAATGAAGTGGGGACTTTTCTTACTAACAACTCAAACTTTTCAATTTTAAACTTCATTGGGGTAAATGACAAATTCAGATTAAAAAAAAGCCATTCCAGTTATACTTGAACGTTTTGTGGGGACTTCCCCCCCACCCCTTCTTGCAAAACGTGTCTCCTCTGGCCTTGTTGTAAAAGCATTTCTTTTTTCAGTATCCTCCCACGTTTCTGACATTTGAATTATTGCTTAGTGTAGCAGTGTCCCCTGCTGGTGTCTGCAGTTGTGTCTTAGTTCAACCTCTGTCCCATAGGGAAATGATCTCTGAGTTCGCTTTGTCAAACACTCTTTTAGCCACCTCATGCTAATTCTGCCTAATAACATCTTAGTTTTCTGCATGGCTGGCTTTTCAGGGAGGAGAATATGGAGGTTAGTCCTTGATCACCAACTATATTAAACGTCTTTTATATATTTCAAATTCATAAGAAAACAGATTTTTTTTCCTGTTTTTTTAACTGTTATTTTTTGGTTCTCCCCGTGAAGGCATAGAATCCTTGTCCATTGGGGTCACACAAAGCTCATTTTTGGTGAGCATTTCTTAAAAGATGAAATGCAAATTCAGTTAATTACGGTCTTGAACTGTATGCTAAGATGCTGGGAAATATTTATATGTATGTATGTGTTTAAGTACAGCAATTGCTTTGAAGAGCAGCTGATTCAGCTCGTTGTAACATCTTTCCAGCCACCTGGAGACCTGAGCTCTGCCTTGCAGGAGGGAGAACTGTACCAGCTGCAGTAAAATCTGACCATGGTATTTTTCCAGGTCACAAGCAGTTGCTTGACAAAGCTTTTGAACAAGGCAGTTAAAATATGCACAATTTTGAGCTTTTAAAGCTTTGACTTTTACTTGTGATGAGACTTGCCTCTCCCACACAATCAAATGACTTACTTAAAACTGATCCAAAAGGTACCATTCTGCCATGTTGCCATGGTTATGTTATCTTGCAAGCTACTGTTTTGACAGACTTCAGTGTGAAATCATGAGCAGTTGTTTGAGTAGGAGTTGCGCATCAAGTGCATTTTTTTGGCCAGCATTTCAGCTTATCTTGTGCGCCTTGTTTTAGTTTGGTTTAATAGCAAACAATTTAACAAAGTAATAGAATTATCTGGCAGAAGGTGCTGAATTGGCATTTCTGTTTCTCTGGAGAGCAAGCATAAAAACAGAGGCTCTGTTCCATCAATGTCTTCTTTTCTGACATTACGCGGCCCCTACTCTTTCAGGCAGAATGCATCCATGTGTTACTTTGTGACAGAAATGATGCTGCTAGTCTCCCAGAGGCTCCCCGCAAATGGTGTGTGATAGTTATTGCAATAGTCGCATGTTTTTGTATGGCATGACCTGGCTTGATATCTCAGATGTCCACGTTTTATTAGGAGCAGAGGATGTAAGGGCCTTTTGGTTCACTGAGTCTAGGGATAACAATCTGTTATAATCCTTTTCATAAGCAGACCGTGAGTTCCCATTACAAAGATCAGAGATTTGCATCAAAAGTATTGTTCTAGTCTGTGGCTGTTCTGTGAGTAGCATAAGAAAAGGATTAAAGCAGGGGAGATTGTATTAACACTTTTGGACAACTGTTGAAATGCACATACTCCTTTAGGTTGTCAGTCTCAACCTGGGCTTTAAAGAATCAAAGAAATCTCTAAATCTTTTGTAAGTGCACCATCTAGACATCTTTTTCCAACCTCCTCCATATGCTCGAATCTGTCAGAATTGACCTCAGGGGTTACATTTCTTTTTCTCTGTCTGTTCTTGTCCCTTCCAGAGTGGACACATGCCAGCAGTTCGGGTATGGGATGTGGCTGAGCGAACCCAGGTGGCGGAGCTCCAGGAGCACAAGTACGGTGTGGCCTGTGTGGCTTTCTCCCCCAGCTCCAAGTACATTGTTTCAGTGGGGTACCAGCATGATATGATTGTCAATGTGTGGTCATGGAAGGTAAGTTATCTAGGAGGTTGGGTGGACCACAAGGTGTTGCTAAATTAAGAAGAGTTTCCAGTTTGACTGTAAACTAGTTCAATTTCATCTTGCTTTCTGCTTTGTTTTAATTCTGTAGTTATTGTTTGGTTTTTGACGTTCATAGACAAAGACAAATTTACACATGAGAGAAAGCTATGGTTCCTCAGGGAAGTTCTAAGTCACTTGCATGAAGGGATATTCTTTGTACTTGGAGACATTTGACATTTTGCTGTCCAGCCAGAAAAGCCTGGACTTTGAAACCTTGCCAAACTGTTGTGCTTTTTTAGAAGCTTATTAAAAACTAATTTATGAGGTTGAGGAAGGAAACTCTCATCAGCCAGGGATTTCTTTTGTAGGGTGGTGGATGCTCTTGGCTTGTTTTGTTTTCGTTATGGTAGAGTTTGTCATCCCACTCTGATCCCATCCTTGATGGATGAGAAGAAGAACATAGGGAGTTCATAATGGGTGAAAGGCGATGAAAGCCTGTGTCCTCTAGTAAACATTTAAGCATTTGTTTTTTGTCGATAAGAAAACAAGCATTTGTTGATAGTAGGCTTGGAAGTCTTCTGTATTAATAAATGCTAGGCACTTATTCAGGTCCTGTTACCTCTTCAAGTGCTAAAAGAGATGATTTAAAAAAACACATAAGTGGATTTGTTAAATCTCACAGGATTATTGAATCATAGAATGGTTTGTGTTGGAAGGAACCTTGAAGATCATATCATTCCAGCTCCTCTGCCATGGGCAGGGACACCTTCCACTAGAGCAGGTGGAAATCCCATCAAAGCCTCATTCAGTCTGGCCTTGAATATATCCAGGGATGCGGCATCCACAACTTCTCAGCTTGTTCCAGTGCCTCACAACACTCACAGTAAAGAATTTCATTCCAGTGCCTCACCGCCCTCACAATAAAGAATTTCTTCACAACATCTAATCTAAATCTACCCTCTTTCAGTTTAAAATCACTACCCCTTGTCCTATCACTACACTCCTGATAAAGGATCCCTCCCCATGTTTCCTGTAGACCCCCATTAGGTAGTGGAAGGCTGCTATAAGGTCTCCCCAGAGCCTTCTCTTCTCTTGCAGCTTGTAAGTCCATGCTCATTTAGTATGTTACTCTTTTCATCACATTTCCTGTGCTGTAATTTAAAATCTCACTGTTGTCTTCTGCATGAGCTGAAATTTGACCTTCCTATTTTTTTGTGTAGCTGAACTGTGTGTAGTGTTAAAACCTAAGTGCGTATGTCAGTGTTGAGATTTGAGTGCTCAGCCTTTTGGTTCTTTACACTTATACAAATGAAAGTAGTGACTTGGAGAGGATCACAATGTGTGCCATGTGTGGGACTGTACAAGTAGCTTTTTTTTCCCTTATGCAGGTTTTTCTGTTCACTGTAAAATTATGTGCATGAGAACTTGTGAGGTAAGGACTGTCACACTCTTCTGTGATGAAGAACACACACTTTAAGCATACACTCCAGACTGTGACTGTCAGGAGTTCCAGCTAGCCTTTATTTTGCAGGCTGGACACCACAACTAGAGAGACTTTACCTGACCAAAGTCAACAAAGACTGAGAGACCAAGATGTGAATACAGATCTCCTGAAGCATTTTCCAGCACTTTTAACCACAACCCTTCTTCTATCCTCTGTGCTGCTGCTTTGATTTCCCTGTTTTTCCTGGCTGTGAGACTTAGTCTTTTGACTGTGGTGGAAAAGAGAACCCCTGTTATCTGTAGGGTTTGTTTGCTTCACTAAAGAAAGAACACAGCAGTGATCCAGATGTTAAGGTCTGCAAGGGTCCTAAGCCTTTCTTTGTGCACTGTCTTGAAAGAAGTTATAATAATCGCTGTCCCACTTGCTTTTCCTCCAGTCTAGGTTTGGGGATCCTCCATGGTGACAGTGCAGAAGCCTAGATTTCTCTGTTACTGGTTTCTTCAGTTCGGTCAGCATGCAGTCTGGTGGGGCCCTTGGAGTGAAGTGATTTTTATACTGAGGGCATTGTGTTGGGAAGACTGGGAGCAACTGAGTCCCTAAAAGGAAGGGTAAAGGAAACAGAGCAAGGATGAAAAGGGATGCACTGTTGTCAGCCATGTGCTGCATGGTTGCAAACCCACCACAGACAGAGGGGAAATTTTTTTTATTCTCACTTCTACCATACCCTGGGGAAAGGCAGTGGGAGGAAAACTAAGTGATGATATTGTGAAAAGGGAGCTTCTGCTCTCTGACCATTTTGCATCCTGTTTTCTGTCCCTGTGTGTTCTTACTCCTTTTCCAAACTCTTTGACATTTTGAGGTGCACATTTGAGGTATAGCAGATTTTGCTTTTTCCCTTCCAGTCTTTTTGTATTTTGGGTCTTTTGATAAAGCATCGTGTCTTTAAAGAAAAGAGAGAATTTATGGAAGAACCATAATTTATGGAAGTACTGTTTTCTCTGTGGAAAAAATACCTGTTCCCCATCTTGAGTGCCTTGCCCTCATTGCTGCCTGGGGGCTGGCAGAGCTCCTCCTTGTGCTGGCCTACATATGCATTTGCTGTTTAGGAAGGGAAATGGATTTGCTCTTGGCTCCTGGTGATTGTGAAACCAGCATGTTTGTTATGGCTCAGACAGCAAGTTCCTGCAGGCACTAGTGCCTGCTGATTTGTTCTGGATCCCGTGGAAGTGGAATCGAATGTAAAGTGAATTGTACTGTCTGCCAAATCAATGTTTCCAGCTAATGCTGGGGAGGTCGTATTCGGAGGTGAATGGGGAATAGTTTGGGTCTCGTCTTTTCCCTGCTGCAGTGCTTATACTGCATATGTGCCTGTAATTGAAATTAGTTTCCTTTGTTTCTGAGCAAAGAAATTAAGCAGTATAAACAATTATATTTCCAGAAAAACATCGTAGTGGCAGCCAACAAAGTCTCAAGTAAAGTGACAGCTGTGTCATTCTCAGAGGACTGCAGTTACTTTGTCACTGCTGGAAATCGACATATCAAGTTCTGGTACCTGGATGATAGCAAGACCTCCAAGGTGAGAGAAAGGCAATTCCATCTTAGAGTGGAATAGATTTTCCCCAGTGAGCTGTGGGAAGTGGGATCTCTTTGATTTTGCTAGGATTCAAGAATAGCCCTCCACTCTGGCTCTCAAGTCTCAGTCTCCCCATGGGCTGATAGCACTAAAAGCTTGTCTTATCCTGCACTGAGGTAGGGGCATGGCTCCTGGAGTTGCATAGCAGCATACTTGTTCTTTTGTAGTCACATATACTGAAGGACAAATAAACTAGAGAAGAGCTGCAATCATTTAACTCCTTGGAGCACAGGGGTGGGGAGAGCTGTATGACAATTGGTGTGAGCATCTCAAAAGGTTGTGAGTGTCATTTTGAAGTGTCAGCTAAAGTGTTTAAACTTTTAACTGTTCTGTTCTTCTCTGGGGGACAGAATCTACCTATGATGATTTTGTGCGCTCATGAACAGCTATAAACATGAACGGCAAGTAAAACCTCTCTTTGTAGGCTGTTGGCAGTTCTTTTTTGAATCACTTCAGCACTCAAGGCTTGATGTTCTAAAAAATTACTGTCTGCCTGAAGTACCTTGCTCTATTTCTAACAAACTGTTTTCTATTGGTAGGTCAATGCCACAGTCCCCTTGCTAGGTCGCTCAGGATTGCTTGGAGAACTGAGGAACAACTTCTTTGCGGACGTGGCTTGTGGAAGGGGCAAAAAAGCTGAAAGCACCTTCTGTATCACATCCTCAGGCCTGCTCTGTGAATTCAATGAAAAAAGGCTGCTAGACAAGTGGGTGGAGCTGAGGGTGAGTTTTACATCCTCCTATTCTGCAGTGTTTGTGCCTGCTGAAGCAGAGCAGGAACAACAAATAATAAGGGCACTCGGAGCGCAAGCTGACAACCAGCAGTGAAAGTAATTGGGCCTCTGCTACTCTGTGATTTACTCTGGAAGGCCAGGCAAAAATAGTATTGCTTCTTGGCAAAGGGATTTTATTAATCATTGAGGCTCTTTCATTTGCAGGCTTCAGCATTACAGCTACTGCTCTTCTGGCAAAGCAGTGTCCTTATTTGGCTTTGGCAACCCCTGCATGGTCCCTCCTGGCTGGGCCTGGAGAAGTAGTTTTAGGAAGATTCTGATTTCTGTCAGAACACTCTGCAGTGTCTTACTTGGCTTGTGCATCTCAAATGCAGGTTCTGAATATACTAGTTGGTTTGGCTATTGTAAACCACCAGGTTGGCCCATAGTTAAGAATTTGATCATGCTTATTTTCCTTTCAATTGAATGTAACATGTCCACCTGAAAGGATCCAGTGTATTAAAATCAAGGGAAAATTCCACACTTTCACTCAAATGAAATGCCTCTTCTTTTCTTTCCTTTCCTCTCTAAAATCTGCCTTTCACTCTCGCTCAGAATACAGACAGCTTCACAGTAAGTTGAAAAAACTTTTTGCATTGAACTCATTCCCTTTTCACCACACTCCATTTTGTACCACTTTCTGCCATTTGTACAGATCCCAAAGGGAGGGGAAGAAAATCCATTTTTTTCTTTTCTTATCCCCTTGTGACAGGTAATGTGTTGGTGTGCTAGTACAGGTGAGGTGCTGCTTGCCTGCCAGTGGTATTGAATGTCACAGGAAGAAAAGCAGTGTTCAGAGTAGGACTTAGCTGGAGCAAATATGTAGCTCTGCTGACCTGTCACAGTGGGTGGCAGAGGAACTAGGCTTTTTTTTTAAACACTTGGAATCTGCAATGGACCTTCGCTGAGAAGCTCTTCAGAAAGGAAAAATGGATTTTTAGGCTTTTCCTTACTCCCAGGGCTCGACTTCACTACAACTTTTCTGACCATGACTCCTTTGTCTGTCAATTCGCTGTTCGCCCTATCGTGTATCTGGTGACCTTTGACATGTGAGCACATTGCTCATTTGTCTTCTTGTGTGCTGTGTCCTCCTCAGACCACTGTGGCAAACTGCATCTCTGTGAATCATGACTACATCTTCTGTGGCTGCGCTGATGGCACCGTGCGGATTTTTAACCCTCTGAATCTTCACTTTGTAACCACGCTGCCGAAGCCACACTTTCTGGGAACAGACATCGCGAGTGTGACTGAGGCCAGGTATGGTGGAGAAGGGTGGAAGGGAGCAAGGGAGGCTTGTAGGAGTTAGAACTGTTCCCCATACCTTTGCCGTCTGGAGTGTGCTCTTTTTATGGATTAAAATTGGCAGCCTGTTGGAGATCTCTCTGAGCTGTTGCAGCCTTACCATGTGTGACTGGGCTACAGCCCAAAGCTGGTTGCTGGACTACACAGAATCTACTATTGTCTGTAGTCTTTCTTCTCCTGCAACCTTGTGCATTCTGGTTTTTGTTTTCCTACCTTGTTCCAGTATATTCTGCCTTGGTTTTCTATTTCTTACCTTCTGAGGTGGGTAATATGATTTCTATACGGTTCTGTCTGCCAGATTGCAGAGGCTTATGCTAGAGAAAACACTTCATGTGCTGCTGTTTGCCAATCCTGGTTGGAGGCTTTCCCAGTCATTTTCTTTAATTTCTATCACTAGAGGGGAAAGAAATCTAAAAGTGGTATGAATTCACCAGCCATTATTCCTCTGGATATCTGTAGTCTCCATGTCTACAGATATGTACTCTCAACTTTTCTTGGGAACTTTAGGTAAAGAGTCAAACAGTGCACTGTACAATCTTCCTCCAGAAAATAAGTGGGAGATAATGATGTTCCAGTAAAGGAGTTGAAAAAGGAACTCTCTCAATTTAAAATGTAAACAACTTCTAATAGTGCTAAAGTCAAGCAATTGTATACCTGGACCCTTAAAAATACTCTCTGCTACTCTCATGCATCGGTCAGGCAGAAATATTCATATAAATCTTAAATATATATTTGTAGCACTGATTACAATCTTAACAACATTTTAAAATTAATTTATTACTTCCAAAGAAGCTTGAAAACACAGGACTCCTTTTATTCCCATGCATGCCGGAACCTCTCTGTGGGATGCTGGTTGCCTGCCTTCAACTGCCCACAACTGTATCAATGACCTGATTTTTCAGTAGAATCTGTGCTGTACTTTTCCAACACTCAAACCTTTCCAAGTGAAGAAGTAGGGCTCCAGTTGTCTCGTGAGCTATGTGCACTTTGGCTCCACCAGTCCTTTTAAATTGCCTGCTCTCAACACCCTGGCACTCTGGCTATAATTACCTTGTTCAATATCATTAGCAGCATTCTGGGATGGCTGAGTTCACCTGAGGTCAACAGAGCAGTTCCTTTACATGCATGGCAGCAGGACTGAACAGAGCACCCCTGTAGAGGAGATGCAGGGTTCACATGGGACAAGATCACATGTGATCTTGGGCCACATTGGGACAAAGACGTGTTTACTTATTATGCAGAATTCCTTTTTAAGTTAGCAACAGAGAGCTTGCTTATCTAGTAAAGACAGTACTCATCTGCAGTTGCCCATCTCACAAGTTGCTGCAAGCAGCACCACGCTGGTTTGCGTGTGGGACAGGGGTGGAAGGAAGGCAGATCAGACAAGTGGCCACTGAAATGAATAATTTCATTGTCCCTTGTGCTGATGTGCTCCTCTTGAGTGCAGTACGTATTCTTCTTTGTGAGAGCAATTCTTGCTATGAGTAAACAAAATGTAGTACCCACCAGAAGATGATCCTCCCCTTTGTTTTGAGATTATTTGACTTGGATTTTAATTTTACCACCTGGTTATGCAGTGGTAAGTGATGATCAAACATCCTGTTTGGTCCTTCTTCAGAGGAAGTCAGTCACCTGTCTGTGGTGGGACTCTCAGTTAGATGACAAGGAGAATTACTTTTGCCATGGGACTTTGAGGCTTCTTTAGGACTCTGGTTGTTCAAGAGACAGGTCTTCCCAGCCAACTACTCTCTCTACCTATATATGCCACAGTGTATTGTTCACTTCACCAGCATCCTGTGGAGAATCTGAGCTCTCATGCTTCACCTCCTTACCCTGACTCCTAGAGAGCACAAGTTAACCAGGCTGTTTTTCTCTCTTCATGCAGCCGTCTTTTCTCTGGTATGGCTGATGCGAAGTATCCAGACACGATTGCCTTGACATTTGACCCCACCAACCAGTGGCTTTCCTGTGTATACAATGACCACAGCCTGTACGTGTGGGATGTCAAAGACCCGAAGAAAGTGGGCAAGGTGTACTCTGCTTTGTACCACTCTTCCTGTGTGTGGAACATTGAGGTATGTTGTCTACAAGCACAAGTGTTGGATTGTGAGTTGCAGCTGAGGAAGTCATCTGAGGAACTGCCAAATTTGAATGCAACCACTTATTGCAGAGAGAAAGAATTGACTCAAATTTTCTCCTGTGGTTAGTGTGGTTGCTACGTGGCCTGAGTTGGAGCTGGGAACAGTTCTTTTGCTGCATTGCAATGGCTGACCAAAAGCGTGAGGCAGTGTGCTACTGGGAAAAAATATTTCACCGTTAAAAGGTGAGAGGTGGGAGAAGGAGCAGAACTGGACAAAGCTGAATGCAAGGGCTCCTTTTAGAAAACACATAAGGTTACTGCTGACCTCAAAAAAAATTATTTGAGGTCTGTGATGAGCAAGGGCTCCAAAGTCAAAAGAATGAAACAAGTGGTAAGATCTGAAGTCTGATCCATCTTCACTTATTTACCAGAACATGTGGAAGTAGCCTCTCAAGTGGGTGTCATCTTCCAGTCTGTTTAGTTGCCTTTCCCTCAGAGGAACAGAGGGAAGGAAAGGAGGTATAGGAAACAATGTAGTTGTTAATATGTTGAAATATGTTCAACAGTGGTCAGGAAAGAGGGAAGTGATTGAGGACTCTATTATTATTTATTAATTGCACCTCACCATTTCCTTCTGAATTATAAATCGACAGTAGTAGATGAAAGTTGCGAGGTGTTGCATGGTCATTTTTGTATGGTCTTTGAGGTACTCTCTTTGAACTAACTTCGAACTATTAGAAACAAAGGATGCTGGCTTGTTGCTAAGTTGTTAAGAAAATTTTCTATGTTCAGGGAAGCTCAGTGAATGTTTGTTTGAAGTGAATGTGAAGCTCTGGTCTGCAAACAGGTTTTCATTAGAACTGTCTGGCTTTCACCTTTACAAAACAGAGAGGACAGCCCTTTTGTCTCATTTTGTTTTGAAACTTGCTACCACTGTCTAGGATGCCAGGTGCCAGGCAATCTCATTAAGGGTTTGATTTTACCTGCCCTTAGATGTATCCAGAGGTGAAGGACAACAACCAGCCATGCCTCCCTCCTGGCTCTTTCATCACCTGCTCCTCTGACAACACCATTCGTCTGTGGAACACTGAAAGCTCCAACATCCACGGCACAGCCCTGCACCGCAACATCCTCAGCAATGTAAGATCCTAGGTTTTGATCACCTCTTTGCCCTTGGGGTTGGTCTTCCTCATGCACAGGTATACCCAGGTTAAGGCCCAAACTTCTCTGGATCTCTAAGTCAACACAAGCTTCTCTGTAAATTGAGCACAAGTCTGATTGAATGTATGAACCCAGAGAAACATGAAGGGAGTATTGGGTAGAAAGGCAGTTTGTCTGAAATAGAGCTGGGGTCTGTTGCTATTTTCCTAAACCACCCAAGGATTCACCAAGCTTAGTCTCTTCCATGAGGGCCATATGCTTCAGGAGAGCTGTTTCGCTTTTTCTCCATCTCTGTAATATGTAATCACTTATAGATTTGTTTGGAAAAGGTGCATTAAATGAGGCAGAGGTTTGGGAGAATTGAATGAGACAGTTTACACTCACTTCATCTATATAAGAGAGAGGATACTCATATAGAACAGTGATTATGTATGGACATTTACTTCCACTCTCAGTTGTGCTGGAAGATCTGTGGACACATTGCCCTGACCTTAGGAATCAGATAGAAAAATGTCCTGCTCTTTCTATCAGTTCTCAGAAGGCTGACTTGGGTGCTCCCTAGAAGTCTTTCAGATTCCTGCTGTGTGCCCTAATATGCTGTAATCACTAATCCCAGAATTTGTCTGTAGTGCAGGAGATGCTGTTAATTTCTAGCTTGAAGGGGAATCTTGCAAAGGGTCATTGTGAGACACAGTTTTGAAGCTTTCATCTCACAGTATGAAGAGGCTTAGTGCTTGTTCCTAGCAATTACAGCATTATTGCCAATGAAGTGCATAGATTGGCCAGGAGCCCAGTTTCTAAGGCAGATGCTTCGCTTTCATGTTTTGTAACTAGTAAATATTTCTGGGTGTATTGTGTCCCCAGGACTTGATGAAAATCATCTATGTAGATGACAACACTCAGGTACTTCTGGACACTGATTACAACTCAGCAGGAAGTGCAGAGAAAGCAGATGCACAAGTGATGGATACGAAGGTGGGGATACGCACTGTCTGTGTGAGTCCCAGTGGGGAGCACCTGGCCTCAGGGGACAGGATAGGCACTCTCAGGTAATCCCATAAAGCTTCTTATGCAGATTGCAGACTGGTCAGGCATGAGAATCAAAACCAGATCTTGCTGTCTTGCTAATTTTATTAAACATACTGAAATGAGTCATGTTGTGTCTTAGGATATATGAGTTGCAGTCTCTGAAAGAAATGCTGAAAGTGGAAGCCCATGACTCTGAGATCCTGTGTCTGGAATACTCCAAACCCGACACAGGTAAATGCAATTGAGCTGCTTCCTTTTTGCATATGAATATAGCATTGAGCAAGTCAGAATGTCCAGCCGTGGTATGTTAGAATTTTCAGTGGTGAGCTGCTCCTGGATTTTGGAGCAGGCTTGCAGAGTTGGGCCAGTAGAGCCAGACTTTACAAAAAGGCTTCTTTCTCATACTTTTCCTTGGACTATGGTAAGTTGAGATTGAAACTTGTTCTGTTTGTTATTGTAGTGTGAAATCCAGGGGCGTGCCTTTGTGTCCTTCCATGCAGTTTGCTACAGTATAATGCTTTGTGCCTAAGATGACTTGAGAAGCTCTTTTGAAAATGGTCTTGCACTCTTTTTAACTTTATGACAGGTTTAAAACTCTTAGCCTCAGCCAGTCGGGATAGACTGATTCATGTCTTAGATGCTGGGAAGGACTATAGCCTGCAGCAGACCCTGGATGAACATTCTTCTTCCATCACTGCAGTGAAGTTTGCAGGTAGAGAATCATGGCCTCTCTCCAAAGCTGGATTTGAGCACTGCTGTTGTTCCATTGTGGCGGTAATGTAATTTTAGCTACTTAAATACTGGGCTAGGCCAATTTGGAGGTGCAGCTGGGTTTTTTATGCCATCTTTTGTAGCTGCAGTCCTAACAGAAGGTGATATGTGATGATACTTGCCTTTTCCTCTTTTGTTTTCTTCTTCTCTCCCTCCTCCCCACTCAAAAAACCTTTCCTGATTGAAGTCCTCAACATTTCTTTGGAAAGCTGTTTTCCTGTAATGATTTAACTGATGTCAGATGGCTAAATGTTGTTCTTAGTGAGAAGAACTGTGGAACAGTTGTCCAAAAAATTCCCCAAACCAACAAAAAAAAAAGTTTCAGGATTAGCTAGTCACAAGTAAAGTTGTCATTGCAAACCAGTGTAAGACTTTGCATTTGTGGTAATAGAGCATATTGCATCCCCAGCACTCAGTTACCACTGATGGTCAGACACCAGTGTGCTGTATTGTGCTGTTGTCAGGAATAGCAAGGGTTGGCTGCTCTGTCAGGCTAAGCTGGTAGCCAGGAAGGCAGGCAAAGGTAGTAAACCTCCCTGCAGTGGGAAAGTCCCACATTACCTGAACAGGATGGAACAGATCAAGTCCAACTAGATCCACCCAGTAGTCCAGATCACCAGACAAATCCATGGTGATAAGACAGGTCAGCAGTGCACTCTGAAGACTGGACCAGTCTGAAGAGAGTGGTCAGGGTCAGCCACAGTTCAGCACCTGCGAGAGAAGTGTAGCATCACAAGCCCTTGGCAGCAAGGCAGGTTCGAGTTCAAATCAGGAAGCTGAGTCCATGGGTCAGGGTCAGGATTCGGATCAGTGGGGTGCGTGTCCAGGCCCAGGTGTGGTTGCAATGCTGCTGCAGTGTAGCTCAGCTGGGGCTCAAGGATGAGAACCTCAGCTTGAAAATAGCTCCAGAGTGAAGGGACCTCACTGAACCTTCATAGCAGAGGACCCCCAAAGCCACTGTGTGGCTTTTTCAAGTTTTTTTTTTTTTTCCTTGAAGAGCTTCAAGGCGAGCAGAAGTTTCTCTAACAAGTCTGTCTTATCAGTGAGCTGGCCTTGAATGCAGACAGCTGATCTCCCGGTAGATGAGGGAACTGGGCTTAAGGCCTGGCAGCTGAGGCCTTTGTGCTGGTCTGTGAGCCAGGTGCAGGCGTGCTTTAAATGGGTGCAGTTCAAGGACCTGTTTGATATTGGATTAGTTTTCATTACTTTGAGTTGTATCAGGTGTTCCTTTGCTGAAGGAGCAGATTGGTTACAGAAGACTGCTAAGGGAAGAAGGAAAGCCTGACCTTGCAGTAAGAAAGGGCAGCAAGAAACAAGTGACCAACTCTGAGGTCTGAAAAGTGCCCGTTGCCTGTTTTCAGCTCATACCGAGTGTGAACGTGCCATATTGCCATGGAATGCTGTGGCACAGAGAGAGTCAGCACATGAGCATACTGGTGAAGGAGAAGATGGAATTACATCCTAATCTGTTCTATAAAGCTGTATTAGGGCCACATGCACTCTGAGCATTAACAACAAATGCTGTCTCTCAGACAGGGCTTCTGTTTTGCTGCTTACGGAGGAGTCAGGCTTAGCTAATTAGGACTAGAATACATGAGGAGTGTATAAATTGAAACATTTCCTCCACCTTGAATCTGTGTTTATCTTTTGTCTCCTGCTTTTTTGTTCTAGCCAATGATGGGAAAGTGCGAATGATAAGCTGTGGGGCAGACAAGAGCATCTATTTTCGCACTGCGCAGAAGGTAACCTTATCACAGCTTTTTATGCGCTTTTAATTAATAATCTCTACACAAAGGAGCTACTTCAGAGAATGATATCAGAGTTTCTTTATGAGCTTGTTGCTATTTCAGCCTCAGTGTTTCCCACTGACTCGATACAAGAGATTACATTTGGAGAACCAGTTCTGTGAAGTATGCAGCTAGTTCTGGCCTAACCTTTCACAGCAAGATGCAAAGTACAGAGCTGTTAGGATATCTGCTTTTCTTTTGCTGTCAGAGCTATTGTGAGGAGTGGTGAAAGAGTATGGGCTGGAGGGAGGAGTTCATTGTACCTCCAATCCCAGCTGCTCCCAACAGCTCCCTGGGAAGGGTTGTTTTGTACCGGCTGTGTAAGAAGACTCATCTGTATCTATTTGTGTTTAATAACGGGTTAACTCTTTGATTTTGACACGATCTTTGCCCACATGTTTAGACAGGAGAAGGGGTTCAGTTTACCCGAACACATCACATTGTTAGGAAAACCACTCTCTATGACATGGATGTGGACCCAAGCTGGAAATATGCAGCTATTGGATGCCAGGATCGTAACATCAGGTTAGTTTACTTCTCATCTTGAAAATATATTTGCAGTCATAAATGAGGCGGCCCCATTTTCATCATTGTTCCTCTAGGTTCTTTAATACAGCATTTTCAGACAGATCTGAAGCCTCACCTCACACTGTGAGGTTGAACTCTGCCTATCCACTCACTGATAAAAAGCTGTGGATATGTGCAAATGCCCTTGGGACTCTTGGCTTCTCACTGGGTTGCTCTGCAGAGCAAAGCCCTTCTACTGGGAGAGCAAGTGTACCTTTCTTGGCACATCATTGAGCTTTGGGGCAAGAACTTCTGCACTGTGGTAGTTTTTGAAGATATGTCTAGTGAGAAACTGTGAGGTCCTGTGGAATAGCTGGGACTGTGGGAATCTAAAACTGAACTAGGTGTTACTGTCTTTGAACAAGTGGAGTCCATTCTCTGCTCCCTTTTTATCTGTTTCTCCAATCTGTCTTGCTTGTAAGCAAAGGAGTTTCTCTGTAGTTTTGCATCTTCTACTATTGCAGCTGGATGAGATGTTGAGAGTTTTGGTCATAGCTAAATATCACTACTGGTTTAGTATTCTAACATAAATAAAGTGTCTTGCTCTCTTAATCCTTTCCTTTAGTATGGAGCTGCCACAGGTATTTTTACGTCAGGGAGGACTGAGGCTTGATAATAAAGCCTCAAATTTAATTCAGATAATCAGCCTCTACGTTACTTTTGAGGTGGTTTCTTGAACCATTTAAATGATTGATGGTTATACTTCATGAAGATCACTTCCGCACTTCCTGTGGCCCTGTTTCATGTATTTTATGTGGAATGAGGAATAGAGATAGAAAAGGATCCTGGTGACAAAGAGCTCCAGAACAGCACCTGGGTAAACTGAACCATTTTATCTTCTGGCATCCCCTCAGGGTTTTCAACATAAGCAGTGGGAAGCAGAAGAAGCTTTACAAGGGATCCCAAGGTGAAGATGGCACTCTTATCAAAGTAAGCTGTTTTCTTTTTCTTCCTTTTTCATTTTTTCAGCTTTTGCAAATGCAGCTGAGGGCCAAGAAAATGAATCTGAACACAGTAAATTTTTTTTTTGCTTGCTTGCTCCCTACTCTGTCCTTTACCCTGCTGCTGCTTCCTCCCATCTCCATCCTTAAGGGCTGGTAATGTATTTGGGTTCCATCAGCCTAAAACAGGAAAAGAGTCAATAAATCCTGAAGATGATGTATGATTTTTCTCTCTGTCCTGTTTCTGAAGTAAGTCACTGGCCCATGATGTAAAAGCAAGTAGAACTGCACCAGTATCTGTCAGGAGATAATTTAATCCATTTAATTTCATCCTTTACTTTCTGCTCCAGAGAGCTCATTCTGGATTTCTTGACTGTTTTTGTTAGGATTTTTAAGGTGGAGATGCTTGCTGATCAGTGTTTATGACGTGGTTTTCAGAGGGCAAATACAAGTGAAACTCTTTGAGTTGATAAAATTAAATAGCATCTGCCCTGAAAAGCATGGATCTTAGAGTATTGAACAAGCCTGGTAACTGCTTAGAGAGAGTCTGTTCATATTTTCCACCTGCTGAGTGCATCCAGACCTTGGGGTAGGGTAGCATGCCTGCTTCTGCCACTATCCAGGCTTACCCTGGTAAATCAGATGTGTCCAAGATCAAGAGTGATGTCAGCACATTGGGATGTGGAAGAATTGCATTCTTGTCTTTAAAGGGGTAACCAATTCACACAACCAAAATATCTCTCAAGTTAAATTGCCAAACAAACCGCTTCTTTTTTTTCCCCCCTCACTTTTTTTCTTACTTTTTAAACCAAATACTTCTGTTCAGCTGAACAGGTCAGCAGTATTATTATTGGGGACCGGAAGGAATGTCCTATGAGGGGCAGCTGAGGACTTTAGGCTTCTCTAGTTTGGAGAGGAAGGGGCTGAGGGGTGACCTCAGGATGAGAAGAGGATGTGGAGAGGGAGGTGCTGATATCTTCTCCCTGGGATCCAGTGACAGGACATGTGGGAATGGTTCAAAGCTGCACCAGGGGAGGTTTAGACTGGACATTAGGAAGCTTCTTTACCAAGAGTTTGGTCGAACACTGGACCAGGTTTCCTAAGAGAGTTGGTCGAGGCCTCAAGCTGTCAGTGTTGAAGATGCACTTGGTCACTGCCTTTAATAATAAGCTTTAATTTGGTCAACCCTGAATTAGTCAGGCAGGAATAGGTGATCATTGTAGTTCCCTTCCAGCTGAAATTATTGATGAGTGTCAATAACTGGGCAAAAAGGAAGGGGAAAATAATTTTGTTCAGTGTCTTATCTTCTGTTTTACAGAGAAAGATAAGTTCTCTTTCTCTTTGCCTATTATAATTCCTACAAGGTTTTTTATAAGTCAGAGTAATGAAAATGAAAAATTGATGCTACACTTCATTGCTGATAAACTTAGGTGCTTGATTATGTCTTTCTTAGACCAGAAACCATGAAATGGGCTGGTAGCTGGATTTTTTTGTTTTTAACAACCTTTAAGGTTTTTTGTGTTTTTTTTTTTTTTCATGTGTACCTCAAGTGGGGAATCTCAATTATTTTTTAATGTTGCTTTGCTCATTTTTAAGACAGTTATGTAACCAAGGGGATTATGGTTATCTCTGGAATTTAAATTTTTTTGGCCTGTTTTTCTGAGATCATAGTATACATTGCAGTTTAATGAGTAGAACCCAAACAGTGACGCTGGAAGCAAAAGATACAGCAACAAAATAAAAATTAAAGAAAAAACCCAACAACTCACCAAACCAAACCCCATTCTTTAAGTACCATGTTTCTCTTAAAAACCAGACAGTTTCACTCTCAGTTCCTTAAAATTCTGTAAAGAACAGAGCAGGACATTTAGTGACAGTAGTTGTATTTGCTGTATAGTGCGGCTTTAGACCTGGTAAGGCATTTGGAGGGGATTTTATATTTGATCCGAGATAAAGCAACCAATGGATGCATATGAAAAAACAAACAAAAAACAAACTTGTCCAAAAGTGGGAGTTGCAAATGCTGAAGATTTGACGGTATCATTGCCAAAGACTGTTTCTTGGCAGTGTTTAGTTCTTTTTCGATTTCTTCCTCAAGACTGGAATCTTTTAAATTTCACTTAACTCTGTCAGCTCTGATTTCTTTTTCTTTTTCTTATGGCTGGAGGACGAATGTTTTGGGGTGTGTTTGGGGTTTCTTATGGTTTTGTTTTGATCTTAACATAGAAGTAAGACCTCAGTGGTTAAAAGAAGGTAGAAGAGAGAGGTATAAGTCTGTCCGTTGGTGGTGATGTTTTCACAGTCATGAAGGCATTTAATGCGTCTGTAGTCTCTGATTAGGTTGGAGATAGCCTTAAAAGTTTAGTCAGATTGGAGATTTGTCCTGGGATGCTGGATAGTCTAGTATTCAATTGGAGTGGGAGCTACTTGCATTTTATTCTGTTAACTACTATGACTGTCTTTGGTATTCTGGACCATTTTCATGTGGTTTGAAGGTACTTTCTCACCAGGTCTTTGCATTCCTCTTTTCTCCTAAACCAGGTGCAAACAGATCCCTCTGGTCTTTATATTGCAACCAGTTGTTCTGACAAGAACCTGTCTATCTTTGATTTCTATTCTGGCGAGTGTGTTGCAACCATGTATGGACATTCAGGTAAGGCACATTAACTTCTGGAAATGCATTTTTTTCTGGTGATGACTATATAGTTAGGGTCCGATACTAATCAAAGATTTCTGAAGGTTTCTCACCACTAAAGTTTACCTGATTGGTATTTTTGAGTAGGTTGTAGCTAGAATTACTTGTAATAGCTTATTTCATTGCAATTTCAACTTTTGCATTTTGCACACAAGCACACACATTTGTCAAGCCATGTATTTGTTTACACGTTTTTTCTATTAGGCTATAAAGTAGTCTGTGTTTTTTCAGAGTATATTGAGTTTCATTATGACATAACCTCAGCTCATACCTTGCAGGAACTATTCTATCATAGGCAAGAAGAAAATTCAGTCTTCAAGTATGTTTTTCCATGGGATACCCTTTCCATGTCAAGCCTTGGTTAAATGGTTATGGTAATTGGGGCATATTGATCTGTGAGGTGTGTTGCCTTTAATCAGAATTTGAATTACTGAGTACAGATAGGCTATTTGGCTAATGATCTCTTCTGTCCATTGGAATAATTCAGGGAAGATTTTTTTTTTTCTTGTGCTTTATTTTACACAGAGATTGTAACTGGGATGAAATTCAGTAATGACTGCAAACATCTGATCTCTGTTTCTGGTGACAGGTAAGAGGTGTTTGCTTGTTTGTGATATCGGCTCATTCCATCTCACATGGATTTAATGTGTCCTTAAGGAGCGTAGATTTTTATTTTTTTAATGAAGGATGTTTTATGTATTCCAAATAAACCTCGGAGCTTTCTGAACCCTAAATATGTACTGTTGGTACAGTTCACAGAGCTTATGTTATCCTTCCATGGAATGAGACATACAGTGAAGTACTTCACTTTTCTGAGTGTAAGTACTATTCCCTGCTGGAAAGGAGACAGAGATATGGCCAGTTTCCTGACCAGCCTTCAGGTTTGTAGTGTAAGGCAGCTTGTGCTATTTTTACCAGTGGTGCCAAAACTTTTTCTTGCAGTACTCCTGCAAGTTTCACCAGGTGAAAGTGCCTGTCTAACACCGAAATGGACAGGCTTGTCCCCACTTTTTGGTCCTGTCTGTAGGGTTCTCTTTGCCACTCCCCTGAGTCAGCAGTGATGCAGTTGGCCCCTCATTCAGCTGATTTAGGTCACTCCCTCCAGATGAGTTTTCTGCTGATTTAGTGGGCTAAATCAGTTCACTAAAAGCTTGAGTAATCACCAGACTGAGCCCAGGGGAAAAAGGAGAATATATGCCTAGTATGATGATTGTAGAGGGGAGTGGGCCCACTATTTCTGGAATCAATGAATCAGCTGAACCGAATAAAATTTTTCCTTTGAGAAAGGAGTGCTATTGCAAGTCCAGAGCAACCCAGATTCTCTCTCTTTTTCTTTTTTTATTAATAAAACACAACTGAATTGGAGAGAGAGTTTTGGAGGGTAAGTTGTTACAGAACATACAATATGTCATCTTAAATCTCATCAGTTGGTTATTACTGTCTTTCAGTAAAAAATTAAATAATTTAGTTTTCCTCTTTACCTTTCACGTGTGTAAATAGGTTAGGGAAAAAATTACTGGGGAGAGAGTCTTTTTGTTGTAGACTTCCAAAAAATTCCAGAAACATGGAAGGTTGGAAGTCCCCAGTGATCCTTGTGATTTAGTGCAGCATTCCCTTGTTGACGTTTTCATGAGCAAAAAGGTAATTTTCTTCACTAAGGGTGTGGAGGAGGTGGATGAGAAATGAGAAAAGAATTCACGAGGAACTTTGCTTAAGGAGATGAGAAAGCATATTTTTTCAAAGGAGAACGGGGAAAATAGTCTGTTCACACACAACAGCATGTGCAAAGAATAAAACTGAGAATAGAAGGAAAAACTGAGATGAGAAAGGGCACAAGGACTGTGAGACTCATGTAGAGAAAAGTACTGCAAGGTAAGAAAAAAGCCGAATCAAAACGCCTCCCCCCACTGCAAACCCCAGCAAAAGGGGTAGGTGGGAACATGTTTTTTTAGAGTTTGTGTTGAATGCCAGTGTATTCACAAGTTCATGTTGTTTGCTGTTTATCTCTAGGTTGGATAGCTGTGGGAGTGGGATAAATGAACAAGCCAGATTTGCTTTCAGAATTTTGTTTCCTCCTTTTCAGTAGTTTATCAGCTGCAGATTATGGCTGTTACTTCAAGAGAGGTGTTGCTTGAGGGGAAGCAGCTGCTTGCCCCATGTTGCCATAGTTCCCAGACACAGTGCCTCACCCCTTTCTTCTGGATGAAAAGCTTAGGTGGGAGGATGACAATGTGTTCCCTGTCAATGGGAAGCATCTATGTGATTTCAGTAGCTGGGAGGGATGCTCCTAAAGCGTGACACTGAGGGCAAGAAGGGAATTTTAAATTTTTCATTAAAATCTTCACGGGCTGCAAAAAAGGGTTTATGTTTTCTTTTTGTGTGATATGGAAATTGAAACCTTTTGAAGTGTCTCCTCATGAGAGATAAAATATAGAGAAGATTCAGGCATTCGGGATCCTGACCATTTTGACATTTACCTCATGCGAGGGAGACCAAATTTTGTGGTCATTGTTCAAAATGGCAAAGCAAATTAATTTTTACGGACTATCAAGAAAGAAGAAAAAGTCACTCATTGAAAAATCTTCCTTGAATTGGAGTATACCCATGAGTATGGAGGCAATGATGGGTCTTGAAGAAGTGGATTAAATCCTCCTTCGATTCAAAGTAGAGTGCAGGATTTTATAAGTGAAAGCAAAAGCACGAGCTCTATTTCTACATCAGTGTAAGTACACCCAGCTAGACAGGAAAGATGGCTGAGATGAAAAGAATTAGTTAGCACTGAGGTTAAATTTCAAAGACCGTGCTGGTTGTTTCACTTTCTAGTGGCTGAAGAAGAGATACAGTATTCTCTAATGTGATGAGGAATATATTTTTTTTAAAAAGCTGAATTTATGAAGAAATTAATGAAATGAGACCACACTGTTTCCCTTTCTTAAATGCTTTCAAATCCATTGACCAAATTCAATTAAATTTCACAGAATATTCTGAGTTGGAAGAGACCCACAAGGATCATCAAGTCCAGATCTTAAGTGAATGGCCCGTATGGGGACTGGATCCATGACCTTGGTGTTATTACCACTATGCTCTAACCAACTTAGCTAATGGCCGTATAAATTCCTCAGCAGTGCCCTGGAGGGAGTCCAAGTAAAGTAGCAGGAGCACCCTGACTGCAAAAAGTACTGCCACGTAACAGTTAAGCTTTTTACACCATGGAGACTCCGTGGAATGGTGGACATCAGTAAGGCCTTACCCGTGGGGGTAGTTGCAATCAGATGCTGCAGCTTAGCCACAGTTAGAGGATGCAAGGGACATCTGTATCCTTCTGACTGCTGAGGGACCTGTTATGGCATTTCCTTCAGCAACTGATCAGATAGTCAAATAAAGGTATGGGATCAGAGATGAGTCTGTGCAAATACCTTTGCAGTTGCTCTTGTTCACAGGGAGTCTTTGCCAGGCAGGTTTTTGTCATGAGGCTTGGGATGGGATTGAGTTTCTGTTTCTGCATGTATCTCCCTGCCACAGACAGAAGGGCTCTTGTTTGTGTCTGCAGAGAGAATTAGTATCAATAAACTAAACTAAGACTTGATCTCAGCCTCACCTTTCCCTCTTTCAGCTGTATCTTCATCTGGCGTCTGAGCTCAGAGATGACCATCAACATGCGGCAGCGACTGTCTGACATGAAACAGAGAGGGAAGCAGGCAGAGAAGTCTCCTCCTCACAAGGCAGCTGGACTCATGAGGTGAGCAGAGCAGACTGAGAAGAGGTGGGTGGCTGGCTTTGTAGGATGGGATGTGAACAGTGCACTGTGCACTGGGATTCAAGTGTAAGGTTTCTGCTGTCTTCACTGATAGTGTCTTCCAAAAGTTCTCTTATTCTTCTGTTGGATTTACCATGGGTTTTGTGCCCTCCTTCTTTGGATATAGAAACCAGACTGTGATCTTCCAGACAGACTTATTTAGTATGCTTCACTGATTGAAATGTATATACAATGCCTCTTCTGTCTTAATTTAGTTTAATGATATGGTTAGAAACTTGAATAAGCAGTTCACCTAGGAATACTGAGGATGGTACATGGCATCCCACCAAGGAAGCTATGATCCTTCGTGAATAAAATTCTTTGGACCTAAGCTGAATGAAATTTAAAGGCTCTTTTCTGTGGTGTCAGTAGTGAAGTATACCTGTGAGCTGTACGAGTTTGCTATGTTGATCATAATTCTGAAAGAGTCCTTACAATTGTACTGTTTCTTTGTTAACTGTTTTCTGGAGACTTTGAAAAAACTCACCTAAAATAATTATAATATAAATAATAAATATAAAAATAATTTAAATGGGAAAAGCTCTTGGCAGCTAAATTGTATTACTATTTTTTGCTTGGTAAACAACGTATCTAAAAACAATCTCTTACAGCCTACAAGCTGAATAGATCTAAATTTATCTGGTGACCTTTCTTTAAGAAGTGGTGCTTCTGTTTTTAAACAGAACAAGAGTGACAGGGGATTTTTGATTATTAGTGTAACGTATTCAGTTTCTCTGTAGTTGGTAAGTAGCTGAGACTAGTTTGACTGTAAGCAGCGTAGAAGAGAGTCCTGACCAAGCTGATATGAGATCATAGTGGGGAAAAAAGAATAAACCCAGGTGTGTTTTGGGTTTTTTTTTGTTGTTGTTTTTTTGTTTTGTTTTTTTTTTTTTTTTTAAATTTTTTTTGTTCCTATGTTCCACAAGTTTCCTCCTCCAAATGACTACAAATTGAGTACTGGATATGAAAGTACCAAAGCACTGGAGGATTTACCACACTAGTTGTTGAGTATTACGAGGACCTCCCCACTCCCTTTGGGAGCAAGCAATGTTGAAACAAGTCTGTCTGCATAGTTTTGTTTTGGAAAGCCTTAATCTCCTCATTCTTGAAATGAGTCTTGTCTAATAAGTGTTTTCAGTAACGATGCTGGGAAAACTCAGGAAGCCTTAGCCAAAATTCTACATCTGTCAAGCAATGTGCTTATTATAGCAGTCTCTCCATTATTCCAGCAGCTGCAGCCTTGCCCTACCAAGGCTCAGCCTGTGGCAGATAATCCCAGTCCTCTTCTGCGTGAGGTGATACTTATTTCCATCACAGATGCTTACTGAAGGGTGGTGCTAGTGCCACGCCAAGCCCACAAGTTTATTAAACTTGTTTGGTAACCTCTTTGCAAGGCTGGAATCTACTTGTCAGCTTTGAAAGCTTGTTTTCAGTTTTGATCAACCGCTGTGGTAACTGGAGATCAGCAAAGACATAACTCCTGAGCATTTTGGATTGGGACTAAAGATGGAAGAAGAGCCTATTGGACCAGCATTATTGAGGTGGGAGAAGGAAAACTAATGAACTTGAGTAAGATTGGTTTTCTAGATGCCCTGTACCTGTTCTGGTTGTGTTTCCAAAGTCTCTCTGTGTAGGTTGCAGTAGAGAGTTGAGTTGTGACTTGTGGTATAAAGTTGTTGTCTTGAAAGACTGACAGTATGGGAAAGCTCCCTGCCTGGTGATAAGTCATTTTTCTACAAGACTTTCTCTAGAACAAGATTACTAGAATTCAGTGGGGGATGTAACACATTCTGATAGTTCTATGAGTGTATGTACAGGGTGAATAAACAAAATACTATTGGGGTAACAAAACTGATCTGATGAGGCAGTGGGAGCTGAAGATTTTCAATTCAAGACAGTGCTGTTTGTCCAGTTGCAACCGTCAGGGCAGGAATTGACCCAGGCGAGTAACACTGGGAGTGTAAATACACAGAAGATACCTTTTTGGGTCAAACCAGTGCTCCATGAAGCCCAGTATTTTGCCTGTGACAGTGGCAATGGAAGATGCTATTTAGTGAGACACTGTGTGAGCCTTGCTATATGAACCTTTGTGGTCTGTTGGCTTCATGCTCAATTGTTATCTCAGGGATGTTAGGAAGAACTCCTCTACCTGTTCCCTTTAGTATTTGGCCCATTGTCCACTGAGTTTGTATAAATTCTTTTTGAACTTTGTAATACTGTCTGTCTCTGCAGCCTTCTTTTGTGACAAGTTCCAGGAGTTCACTGCTCTCTGTGGAAAGAAGGACTTTTTTGTCTCTGTTAAAACACATCCTACTAGTTTTGTTGAAAGCCCTTTGCTTCTGAATATTGTGAACTTTGGTGAACTGTCGTTCTGCATCCAGCTATCAGTAGTGCTCATGGTTTTGTAAACCTTTATCATAACCTCTCTTCATCCAACCTCCTCTCTGAACGGAAGAGTCTCAACATTTTCAGTCCCTCCAAAAACTTTTAGAGAGACTAATGTTTCTCCTCTGAGTGATATCTCTGACTCACCTTTATGGGGCATTGTATTATCTTGGAGCTGGTCAGACCTATATGACCCACAGTTCTCCACAGTGCACCTGAGAGCCTTTCAGTTCTGCCTCTAGTTGTGGTAATTGCAGATGTGTGCTTTTTTCTGAACACGAGGAGCTTTGATAGTTGAGGATAATAGAACTTATACTCAGCTGATATTGCTGGTACATATTGGTTTAAGGCTTTTATATTTTCAATAAAGGAATCGTGTAAAGGCCATTTAATAGGGTTTTGAAGTTGATCCAAGTATGCATTTATAGTTTAAAAAAGCTTGTCTCAAATTTTTGGAAGGGAAGTTTTAAATTGATTTTACTATGGAATATTTGCAAGGTTTATAGTCATGTTTCAGCTGAGCATTTATATTTTTTTTACATTAATTTTAAAAATCACATTTCTGTTGCTTTTCTTGAAGCTCTACTATAAATAGCAGGAGATAGAAATGTTATCCACATTAAATTGCCTAAAAATTATATATGTATGCTGAAGAAGTACTGTGTGCTGTCAGATATATTTGGAAAGAAGAGCTCCTTATCAGATTCTCAGTGGGTCCAGGAAAGCTGTGTTGTTTCCAGGGCCCAGAGTGGCTTTTGATGCCCTATCAGAAATGGTGCCTGAGTCTGTGATAAACTACTGCAATTATAACACCAGGGAAACTCTGAAGTCAGCAGCACTGTGATCTTTCTGTGGGGAAAAGCAGAGTAGCTTTCTTTTTAAAACCCTTAGGCATTTGAGGGGGAAGCAAGGGGACACAATCTGCTAGGGATACCTACCACAAAGGATGTTACAGTTTCATAAATATGTCCCTAAAGCTGAGGATTTAAGTAGCACAAGATTAGAGTGGGAGTGCTGAAAACATACCTCTTTAAATGGATAGTTGCCATTCTTGTCTGCTCTGTTTTGTTTTAAGAAAAGAAAACAAGGTTTGATTCAGGTCATACAAAAGTATACAGAGTGCCTGTTATCAGATGTCTTAATACTAGAACTCCATAAGGACATGTGACACTTGTGAATCTATATATATGTCCTGAAGACTTTCTAACTGAAGGACCTTCCCTGCCATTGACCCTGTACTGTCTGACCCTTCAAAAACTAGGAGCAACTAGCTCTGCTGACCTGTACAGAAAAAGATTCAGATTGTAGCAAGGTGGGAGTTTGCCTCTTCTCCCAGGAAACTAGTGGTAGGACAAGGGGAAATTGCCTCAGGTTGTGCCAAGGGAAGTTCATGTTGGACATTAGGAAAAATTTTTTCACTGAAAGAGTGATTAAGCATTGGAACAGGGTCCCCAGGGAAATGGTGGAGTCACCATCCCTGGAAGTGTTAAAAAAAATGATTAGACGTAACACTTCATGATATGATTTAGTGGGCATGGTGGTATTCAGCCAAAGTTGGACTTGATGATCTTGGAGGTCTTTTCCAACCTTAATGATTCTATGATACTAGAACAGGTTAGTTCCTTAACAAAGAAGAAGATGAGCAAGGACAATTAAAACTTGCTTTAAGTGAGTCACTTAATGAGAATTGGACATGACTGTACATGCTATTCTGGAATAGCTACTGTGAAACATTCATTCTGGTATAATGATGCTTTGGGGTTTGGCTGAACCTGCTCTCAGTGGGAATTCAGCAAAACCCAGAAGTCTTACTCCTTCGTTTTCAAAATGCTCCCTTGTGGTGCTTATTTGGAAACAGCTCCGGTGCTTGAAAACTCACTGTACATTACTCTGACTCCCATCTAAGCATGAAAAAGAACTGAGGAAGAGTATTGAGGAGATGTGTGCAACAGAGGGGCTTAGAAGAAATTCCAAGTACAAATGGGAAGGCAAGGAAAGAAAGGAGAAAGTAGTGAAGTTTGAATTGAGGAACTGACTTTGGCAAGAACAACAGTTAAAACACTCAAGACCTTGGAAACCTAGGTTTCATTTCAGGAATATCTCAGTTTCAAGTTGGTGGGCCTAAGGTCCTTCTGAAAATCCCATCAGTCATCTCCCTTCAAGTTAAAGGACTGAGTTTGAAAAGCATACTTGACTTGTAAAAAGGTGGATGTGGAAGAGGGGTATGAATTTTTGCTGGGATAATGCAAGATAATCTTGCATTTGTATCAAACACATGTGACTTCATAATTTGTTTATCACTTCCTGTGAGGTAAAAAAACCCACCCATCTGACTTCCAAAATATGTTTTACATTCTATTACTCTACTACTTGAAGAGTACTGGAACATGACTTTTCTCCTCTTACTAATTTTGTCAGTCACCGTCCGATGGACAGGGGCCGTCTTTCTATTTGTAACATAATACACATGGATAGCAATCTTCCCTTCTCCATTTACACCGATGACAGTACACAAAGGAGTTTAGCAAACACATAATCTTGCCTTGCCATACCGTCTCATTATATTGAGGTATTCAACCAGTTAGATGTTACAATGTCTAATAATCTAACCCTTCTGTCTCAATAAACTCCTCAAACAACCATGATGAAAACAAGCAGAAGGATGCAATCGAAGTTACTGATACAAAGTTAATATTGCCTATCACATTAATATACGTCATAGGATGAAACATGACATAACCTCAAACATACTCTGGGGCTTTTGGACTTCGTTGGGATTCACCTGCTTAGACACAAGAATCTGAGAGTGATAAGATGGGCGCATGAGGAGACAGTAGAAAAGAGAGAGACTGACAAATGTCAAAAGTAGATGAGGATGGCCAATTAGAAACTGTTTCACTTGAGAACTCTGTAGGCTACAATCAGTTTCACTCTTCTTGCCTGAACACCTCAAAGCTCATCTGAAATGGTTGGGCAGTTGTTGCTCAGACACTCCTAATAAAATGGAAATTAATGTTCTACCACTAAACAGGAAGAGAAAAGATTAAAATATCTTAACTGCTTCTTACCATGTTTCAATACTGCGTGTTATCTGTAAGCTGCAGGAGAACGGTCCCTTGCCAGACTGCTCTGTATTTGGTGGATGAGCTATTTTCGTTTCATGAATAATGCTTGGCACTCAACACCCACCAGTGATATCGTATAAATGTCACTAATGATGAGTTTGGCACTCTAGCTCAAGGCTATCGAGTGGGTGCTACTCAGATGTATTTGTTGGGGATTCTTCTTTCTTCAATTATTGTCCAAAGGGGGTTACTTCGTTTGGTTCTGTGGACTGGAGGGGTGAGGGGCGGAAGGGGAGGAGGAGAAAAGAGAGGGAGGATAAAGTTTGGTGTTGGTGAGTGTCCTTGATTGGTATTGGAAACTACTGTGCTGGGAGTGCATTTTAGGTCTGTGTGGTAAAACTTGTCTTGATCTACTTTAATCAAAGATGTGCCCAAAATATGTTTTACATGATCCTTGTGCTTGAAGACTAAAATAGGCAGCGTGATGCTCTTACGGTGTGTGGGCTGTGCCTTCAGGTTCTGCCTGGTGCAATCCTTGAAATGAACCTGTCTTTTATGGGATAATTTGCCATAAACAAAGTTACTTTCAAAGAAAGACTATGTCTGACATTTTTGATATGTAAAACAGTTTCAGAGAGGAAATGCTTAAGGGTGGGAAAAATATTTGCCTTTTAAATATGGTCTATCATCTTGACCTTATCAATTGGCAGAGGCTGAAATGGAAGGCCAAGTTTCATTCCATTTGACTTTCTCAGATTTGTTTACTTCTGTGCTGATTTCCGTCATCCTTCCATACATAAGAGATGATTGCTGTGGCAGGGTCTACACAACTTTGTGCAGGATTTAGCTTACCCTGCTTCTCAGGTGGGTTGTGCTAGAGCACAGGCTGTGTGGGAGAGTTGAGGCAGCCTGCTGAGTGTGGATGGAGATAAGCTGTAGAATTGGTGTAAGGGTTGAAATGGTAAGCAATTCTTGTCATGGACTATAATACTCCTTCTAATTCCTGCCTTCCAGGCACGAGTCCATCTCTGCCCTGTCCTCTGTGCCTGCACTCTCATCAGACAGTGACAAGGATGGTGAAGATGAAGGGAATGATGAAGATGAGTTACGTGGGCTGCAGTCTCTCCACATTCAATCCAACTGCAACACTGAGAGAGACTCAGGTATAAATGGGAGAGGAGCATGGGCAGAGATGGAGGAAAATGGCATGAATGTGAAGGGGGAGAAGATGAGAGATGCTAGCTTAGAGATAATAAGTTATGGGCAGAAAGAGAAAGACCAAAACAGAAATAGATGGATAGATAACAATGGGTAATGTGGAGTTGCCCATTCCTGCATCTGAAGAGGGGTACTGTTCAGAGTTCTATTTGGTTCTCTAATTAGAAGTTCAGTTGTTAAATTGCCAAGTTTCTTGCTAGTTCCAACTGGCCAAACAAATTTTGAATTAGCTTCATGGGCTTGGGTCTACAAGCTATTGGATGTCTGTAGAAGCCAAAAGAGATCTCATGGTGGCTTCTGGAGGTGTCTAATAAAACTTACAGTAGAGATTACCATTATTAATTTGATGTATTTTTACCACAGATGCTACAGTGTATTGGTCCAAGCCTTTGGGAGGGCACTGCATTGTGGCAAGTGTTCTGCAGTGGGACTACTGAGTCAGTAAAAATCTTACATGAAATAGTATGTCTCCATAAAAATTTTGATACAATGATTTGGTAGTCTGTAGGAAAGCATGTACTGACAGTGGTTCAAAAGCTGTAAGAATACTGCCTTTGAGGAAAGATGAGATAGAAGGTTGTTCAAAAGCTGGACTGCTGGCCAAGGATGTCAACTAGCTGTATATGTTTTTACCTTTCCAGATCCAGACCTTACCCTCTCAAGAAGCCTTTCCCATTGGGAAATGAGGAGGGTGAGTTACTAAACCTTCAAATTGTTTTTCTTGTCAGAGAAACTGAAAAAAAATTCCCAGAGATTAAAAACTGCATTTGCACAGGTGGGAAAGGTACAGCTGCGATGGGAAACCATTGAGAAGCCTCTCTCTGAAAAGTGACCTGGGGATGGCAAAATAAATCCTAGTTTGGGAGACAAGGGAGTTTAGAGGCTAGAGTTTCCCTTGGGATTTTTAAATCAGTATCTTTCCATCAGATGTTTTGCTTTTTCTTCTTCATTTTTGATCTGAATTTCCTGTGGTACTGAAGCTGTTCACATACTTGGATCTGAGCAAGACATTTAAATACGTTCAATTATGCAAGAAGCAGCAACGGAAGTATCATCTTTACTTAATGCTGTATGATTAAAGGTGGATTTTAAGCTATCCCACAGATGGTTTGGGGGCTTTTATGTAGATGGTCATAATTGTGTTTTTCTGTGAGTTTTGTGGTTCTTTTCTCCTGTTTTTCCGTCAGCAAAACTCAATCCTTAAGGCTGTCTGTCTTTCAATTTCCTTCAGGCCAAAGAGATAGCGGCAATCCAGCGCTCAGAGGCTCCGATGAGTAAGATGCCCCGGCAACGTGGGCGCTGGTCCCAACCAACCAGCAACATAGAGATGACCGTGAAATCCATGCTTGACTTGCGTCAGTTGGAGTCCTTCTCTGTTTCCCGTTCTCCAAGTCGAGACTCGCTGTCTCAAAACAGCAATGGGGATGACAGAGAAGAGCATGCTGGCCTTCCTGTGCACATCAACAAAGTAAGGGCCATAGTGCTCTGAGGAGATGAATCTACTCTGAGAGCATCTGTCCTGTATCTATTTGTTATTACCTACCTTTATTACTAACTGATGCCATTCTCTTTATCATTAAAGGTGTTCTAAATGACTTCTGAGAAACTTGTTTAGATAACTCTTTTTGTAGTTAGTATTCCTGCAGTGTGTGATTCTTCCATCTTATAGCAGAGACTGTATGGGATCAAGTTTCTTTTCAATGACAGGAAGACCTCATGTTTTCTTTTAGTTTTGATTATTTGTGTCAAAAACAAGCTGAGAAGCTGAGCTCTGAATTACAGATGTGTACCTGATTACCTGTTAGTTCACTCTCCTAGGGAGCAGTTTCTTGACTCTAGTAGCCACTGAAATGTGGCTTATATGATTCCCTTTGTTGTGGGCTGTGCTAGATTAGTAAATTCTTTTTAATCTTTGTATTGATGGGTCACAGCAACTAATGTGTGCTCATACCTCAGAAAGCTAATGGCTGTTTTCCAGTAGCAGTCTGTCCCAGTGCCTAACTTAATCAGGGTTTTTCCTTCCTTTATAACTGCACAACTGAGAAAAGGATTGGGCTTGCTGTGTGCAGTAGATAATTTTTTCAGCTGTGGCCCAGTTTTATGAATCATGTCTGATCGGTTTATAGAAGGAAATGGAGGAACATGCTGTCACATGGCTTATGTTCCTGATGAGTGGTCGAAGAGTACTTTACCAAGGAATCTTAGGGGGTTGCAAACAGGAGACAAAACAGGAAAGCACAGCAGTCGTCTGATAAGTTTAGTAAATAAGGAACAGAAAACACATAGGAGTGCTGTGTTTTCTGATCTCAGATTCCTGTGCTGTAATGCATACTTTCTAGCTCTGCACAGCACTGGCTGACTTAAGGAAAAACTCTGGAAATATCTAATCTTCTCTCTCTTTAATTAAACCAGGTTAGCAGCTCAATACCTCCCGAAGATAACGGGTCTTGTGTGCGACCCCAAGTGATTCGGCTTGTGTCTTGTGAAGAGGGGATTTTCTCTCAGGAGCTGGAACCTTCAGAGAGTGAGGAATGTGTAATCTACCCTGAGCAAGATGAAATCCATCCCACAGACTCTAGCAGGTTAAAAATAAGCTCTCTGCTCTGCATGGCTTAGATGTTTCTGTTCTGGTTTTCTTGCAGTTCGTGTGGTAACTTGTATGAGTTGATTGATGTCAGGCATGTTTAGTTGAGAGTTTAATGTCAGACGGATGCTAAAGAAATATGAACCTAAGAAGGCACCATTAAAATAATTTTCCTTCAAGGAAACTGCACATTAGCAGTCTCCTCCAAGTTTTTTTTTTTTGTTGAATAAACAACTTGGGAGCAGCCTTTTTGCTTTCTCCCTTATCTGGATTGAAATAAGCAAGAGAGAACTTGGAAGCTGGAAAACCACCTGACAGTGACACGTATGTAGCAGTGAAATATCTGTCCAGGAGAAATGGCAGAACACTTATTTATGACAATTGGGAAAGAATTTAACAAATGTAGTATGTGATGACTCTTCTATTGGAAATAGAATGGCTTGCATGATATAGATGGAATGGAAAAGGACACTGAAAACAGTGGAGACCTTTTTTATTCCTCTGCTGTTTCTTCTGTTTTAATTTTATGTAATTCAATTTTTCTGTGCTCCATTTTATTTTCCTTCCCTGAATTTTATTCTCCCCTTCCCCTCTTAACCTGGTGCTAATAGCTGTTTAATTCCCTTTGTCTTCTCCTGTTCTGTTAAAAAGAGTGGGCTGATAGCTTTAGACAGAATTTATGCAACAGTGCATGCCAAGACTTTGCAGTTGAAACTGCTAGGTTTCACCTAGTTTCTCTATTTTTCATTTTCAATTTTATTATGGTAACGTTTGGACAGAGTAGACTCATGTGCTGCTCCATCATGTAAGAAAGGAAGGCCCTCTGGTGATGTTGAATACAGACTGGACACATCTCAGTGTACATGGAGTTTGTGAGCTGCCAGGGGTAGTTGCTGTTGGGTGACTTCTACATCCTACCTTGAAATGAAGTACATTTGAAACCAAAGTATTTCATAACGTGGAAAACTGAAGTCCTTAGGCATCAGTCAGAAGAACAGTGCTGGTGACATTTGACAAAATAAGATTCATGAAATCATGGCAGAAACTGGGAACCCTGCCCTACGAGATTGTATTTTCGCTAAATTAGTCTTTATCTAACCCAGAATCTTCTATATTTTGCATCGGAGAAGTTGCCCAAAGAAGCAGGTCATGAACATGGAAAAAGTAGTGTATTAGAGCTTAAATCTGTGGCAAACTAAAGTTTCTCTCATGCAGGTATAGGCCTGGTTTTAGTCCCTTTCTCATCACTTAGACCTCTACATTTGTTCCTCACCTGTGGTGGGAATCAAGCCAGGGCAATGCAGTGCTGGTGCCTGGTAATCGTGGGAACTGACAATGCCCAGAAAGTCAGACAGTCCCCTTGGGACTTCACTGTCCAAGCTTAATGAAATGCAAAAAATATACTGTATTTTAATGAGAGAAATCAACTTCTTTTTCTCTTTAAAGCCTTACATTTGTAATCAAAGGTGTTACTAACACAGGTAAGGCCTTATTAAAGTTAAAATGTGTTTCTTTATGTGTAAAACAAATATCTTTTCTAGTGCTGTATCTTCCTGTCTCTCTTGTAGTGAGTTCCAGGTAAAAGCATTGCCCCATGGGAAGCTATGTAGAGGTTATCACAGTAATGGATGCCCAGACAAGCACAGTCCGGACAGTGCTTGCTCTGTAGATTACAGCAGCAGTCGTCTGTCCAGCCCAGACCATCCAAATGAAGGTAAGATGCAAAAACATTATAAATGTATTTATATGTGAACTCTTCATGAGGTGAACTGAGGCCACACTCCTATTAGTCACACTAGTACTGCTGTAAAGATTCAGGCGCATTTGAACAGACACCTGAGCGAAGCCACTGTAGAAGCAGGAGTTGGTACACTTTCCTTGTGCATCTTTGGCTTTCTTTTACCTTGCTAGATAAGGAGGCAGGTTTAGTATTGATTATCCCATAGGCTGTGTTGTTTGTGGGATATTGGTAGACTAGAGAATTATTACACGTAATGCTGACTGACTTTAACATTCTAGGTTCAATTTAGCATCTTCACTGATTTTTTTTCTTTTTTTTTAACCTGACTAATGTTACTCTGATTAAGTTGTTACAGCATTGGAGTTTTTTTGCCTTTTCCCAGATTCTGAAAGCACTGAGCCCTTAAGTGTAGATGGCGTTTCAGACCTGGAAGGAGAAGAAGGAGAGGAGGATGTGGGTGCTTGCATGCCGGAGGGAGAAATTCCCCAGATACCTGATCAGGAAAAGTTCCTCAAGGAGCATTTTGGGACCCTGAGCAACACTGATGGAAAAGGTACATCTCTCTCCTCGGTGGGGAGACTTTGTGAGGTCACTCTTGATTTTTCCCCTGTATGAACCAAACCAGGCTACAAATTTTGCTATACTTTTATGGATGTGTGTGTAGAGGAGGGGGGAAAAATGGGGAACAGTGTAGACAGGCCTGAAGAAGTGTGACATCTGTTAACTCCATCGGTCTATGTGTAAGTTTGTGTGGATGAGAGTGGGGCCTGTGTCAATTTGGGTTAAGTGTTGTCCCTGGAATCCTGAAGAGCCGTTCTCTTGTTCCCAGACCAGTTTTTCCTGTTGCATAGGAAGGTATTAACTGTGTTCACCCCCCCCATAGGTGACACGCAGTGGCCTCTAGTGGTGTATCAAGGCATAGCAAATATCACAAAAGAAAAGGCTGAAATGCTGGGTGGAGGGACAGAATAACAGGAGACGTCAGAGTGGCAAAGGAACTGGTTTGTCTTTATCGACCAACTCCAGAACAAAGCATATATTTTTAGAATTGATAATGGTTGCAGGCAGCAATATCTATTAATTTTCTTTTTTTTTTTTTCCTTTCTTTCCCCTCTTTGATTGTTTTGTTTTCTGCTTGATGCCAGCGCCTCACAGTCAGGATAGGACACAAAGGGAAGCAAAAAAGGAGGAGGCGTACCCTTAGGGAGAGTAGCAGCTTAAGGCAGACTAATCTAAATAGAACAGAAAAGGCAAAGGAAATGTAATTATTTCATTCTCTGTGGTTTTAGCTCAAAAAAATGCCCTTGTATATGAGGGAACACTTGATAGTCTCTGCAATAAGAAAATGCATGTGTCAGAATGTTTGTTCTGTAACTAAACTGCTCATTTTTCTCTCTTCTTTAACCAAAATTTTTAGGTGGCTCATGTAGGAATCTGGAAAGAACTGAAAACCTCAGCATTTCCTCTCGCTTTCTTTCCCAGTCCCCGGCTCTCAGGTATGGCTCAGCTTGTTTGAGTGTTCCTGTCTGTCTATTTTTACTAGTATGAGCACGTCTCATGCTAGGTCCTGGGTGAAAATAGTTGAGCAAACTTCTGGCTTTGGTGTGCCTAGGCACAGCAAAGTGTTAGCGTAGCAGGCTGGCTGCAGATTTGGACAGTCTGTCCTGGTTCACTTTAGCTGTTCTGTTTCTTCCTAACAACACTATTGTTTTGTTCTTTTTCCTCTTTCAACAGTGTGCTTAATTGTTTCATGATTAATGCCTTGACTGATTAAGTTGGACGAATTGCTAATAATCTAATTTACTCTTCACTGTTTATGCTCTGTTTATTCTTTTGCATTTCATTCAGCTTGGACAATGAAAGTAGACTTGTGAAGTTTTCCTTTGTTTTACGGTTTTTTCTTACTCAGCTTTGTTTCTCGGTCCCATGCCTTCACAGGGTATTCTGGTGTCTCATACAAAGCCTGTTGGGGATATTATTCTTGCAAAAAACCCTCAGCCCTAAAGCACCCTAAAAGGCCTCTCCAAGCTGTTTCCCTTGTTATTTAAAAAAAAAATCCTGACAAAACAAACAAAGAAAAAAATCAAACAAAAAATGAGGTAAATACTTTTGTTGATTCAGGTTCATAAATGTTTAAAACAAACAAATACTCCTGTATTTCTCTAAAATGACAACCTGAAATCTCTGCTCAAAGGAATTCCTTGTGTAGGGCTGAGCAGATTTGAATTCATCTTCTATGGTTCACCAGCTGTGTCCAGATTTACCATGTTAGGGAAAGTTGTTTGTTATTGCTGTATTCGGCTGCTGTTGCTGCTGTCAGGAGTGCCTCATAGTCTATCTCATGTTGAGACCATATGTTTGGGAAGAAAGGCACTGGTTAACTATTGTGTAAACTTCTGGAGAGTTGTATTGAAGAGTTCAGTGATGTAGGAAGTCATGGGTGTTTTAGAGATGTAACAAGAGAGGTAATTTTAGGTTATGGAAACCTCTGGGCTTTTAATCTGTTTAGCTCTTCAAACATTGAAAGTTGCCTCCTTTCTGAAATAAGCCCACTTCTTTCAGTGCTTGTCTGCAGTGGAGAGGAAGAGGAAACTTGGCTTTTCTCTTGAAGATACTGACCAGCTTTCCTAGTCATTATGCTTTCATAATGTTAGGAAAGCATAATTACTTCCTCTTAGGATATCTTAGAATTGAAAAGATTTGTTAGTAAGGTGAGCTGAGAGAAAAGACCTGACCTGACTTTGCCCAGTCTTCCCTATACCTAGAATTTTTCCTTCTGTTTTGCCTTCACTTTTTACAGTGTCCTCCACGGAAACAGCAACCCAATACCATTTGTGATTGCACAGCCTAGGGGCAAATGCCTGAAGACTAGAGCTTACAAGGTTGAGTAGAATGAAGTGGTAACATCTTAGGGCATTTTTGACTTTGAAAAGTCCAGATAGGGAAGGGCTCTTAATGCATGTTCCTGTTTATCCAGGGCAACATACTTACTTGTTTTAACTGGGGTTCCTTTATTGTGTCCTCTAGACGATTGTCGCTCTCTTCCTCAAATCTGATACTGGATTCAAAGCCCATTGAGCTGCCAACCCAGACCAATCAGTTTACACCAGACTTATTGAAAAGTGCCAGCAGCCACCCTGATGATGCACTGGAGAACAGCCAGCTTCTGGAGCGTGTAAATTCAAATCGCGCTATTTGCGTGCAGAAAAGACGCAGATCGGCTTTGGAGGCGAGCAGAGTTGGTATGGCTCCTGGGCGAGTTATTGCCTCCTTTCCAGAAGGTCCTGTGAATGCAGTGATGAGAAAGGCGCAGTCAGTTCATGACCTTGTGTATGAGGGTAAGGACACAGGTTGGAATGAAGGTATAAACCCAAGAATGAAATGGGGACATTTGAGTAGAGATTTGAATTAAGCTTATCTCCTTCTGCATTCTTAGCTACAGGCTTTACATGTCTTCTAATTCCTAGCCTTTCAAGGGGAAATATTTCTAATTTGTAATGCAGATGCTGGTCTTCTAATCGTCAGTCTCTGATATTTGTCTGGCAGCTGTGGGAGGAGCATTGGCAAGGGTAAAATGAAGTATTTGCAAAAAAATTCTCTCTTGCTCTGGGTAGTTGCTCCAAGCCAAGACTGAAGCTTCCCAGGGTGAGGAGGAGAGAAAGAAGGAAGGAGGAGACAGTAACAGAGAGCTTACTGTATCCATGCCCTCTATATGAAATAACTGTTTTTGAAACAGTCAACTCATGGACCATTACTATGCATGCAGTTTGTTTAAAAAAAATGAAAACTCACCTAATCATCACAACAGCTATATAATTTTTCGCCTGCTTCCCCTGGCTTCTCTGTTAACAGTCAGTCACAGTAGTCTGAGGTCTTCTGACCATACGCTTTTAAGAATAAATCTCTCTTGTCAGGAAAACAGCAGTGTGTGAGCTGAGCAGGATGAAGGATGGGAAAAAAAGACAGCTGTTGAGGCTTGGTAATATTAACCTGAAGTAGTGGTTTTGTACACATCTCCTAGGGGCTGAACTGAGTCACATAGGCAGGAGCAGCTCTGTTACTTTCCAGTTTAGGAATTCACTGCAGGCTCTTGTCTATTTTTGGTGTGTTTGTCTGTTTAATTTTCACAGATAAGGGTCCTGGAGTGATATCCTCTGCCAAGCAGCGTCCTCAGACTCTTTTGGTGGTCGAGAAGGATCCCAGACCTAACAATTGCAGGGTGTTATCAGCCAGTATGTTGAAGATGGATGGATCTGGTGCTCTGCTGGCCAAAGATGTCAGGGCTGCAAAACCAAAGTCCTACATGAACCCCACAACCAGCTTCCGGGCTAAGATGTCAAGGAGCATATCTGTAGGGGAAAATCTGTACCTTAGTTCCTCCACTGAAATGTTGACTGATGGGAGGACTAGCCCTCCAGTGACAGAGAAGACTCAAGTTAGTTCCACAGCAGATGCTGAGAAGATTAAGCTACCAGTGAAAGAAAATGTTCCAGTGAAACCTACACTTCAACCAGTTGTAAACTGCTCATCTCCCAAGTCCTTCCACAGCAAGTTGGCATCATCAAACCGAGCACATCTGATTCTTGACATTCCCAAACCATTACCTGATAGACCCACATTGGCCTCCTTCTCACCCACTACCAAAACAAAAACCTTGCTTGAGCCACAGTCTCCACAGTCACCAGCTGGGGCCTCTAAAAAGAAACCTTCTTTTCCTGAGGTCCGAGTCTCCAAGAGGGAGAACCAAACTGCCGGGTCTCTGGTTCCTAGTAGAGAGATCCCAACAGGGCTTGTTAAGGAGAGCCCAGTGGATTGTTCAGTCTCAAGGACAGATTGCCAGGATGAACCAGGGGTCAGTAATCTAAAACTGAGAGAGTTGTCAGAGGGCCAGCACCTAAGGTCTCCTGAGGGCACACTGCCCAGGTGCAGGGAGAGGATCACCGGCATCGCCTGTGTGCTAGACAACCAACCTGGACTTTGCCCACTAGACCCCATCAGGCCGAGGTCTCCTACGTCTATAACTGCCTTGGCACAGGTCTCAGGTGTGCATGGATACCCGTATCTTATCTTCCCCCTTCTGTCTCCTGTCTTTGTGAACCGCCTCACGATCCCATCACATTTCTTTACGTCCAGCTTCTGGCCTGTCTCGTCCTGTCTGCACCTGTCTCGTTCCATAAGCCATCCCCTCAATGGTGAGACACTTCTTCAACTAACATCTTTTTCTCTGTCTTTAGTTTCCATTTCCTCTGGGTCTTATGTCTGATGGTCCTTCTTAGCTGAATATTTTGTAGACCTCAGCACTGTCATGTTTTTAGTGATTTAGCTGTACAGTTACCTGTAGGGACTCAAACCTCTTTCTGGTCAATGCTAAAAGCTGACATACTTGGAATCCCCATGAGTGTGTAGGTCACATCCCCCATGCCCTCTCATAGCACGTTTGATCAGCAGGTGAAGGTACAGGCCAACATGTGCTAGCTGAACCAAGCAAGCACTGATAACACTGACAGTAAAGTTATGCCAGGCAGCTCAAGCTTTACGTTGTTAATATACAAGTGTACAGGGCCCAGAAGGGTTTGCATACAATTTTCTTGTGTGAGATAAGGCTTGACCAGGCTGAGCTCCTTGCTGTAGCCACCTATGGAGTGAGAAGGTCTCTGAGCTGCTATTGGTCTGCTTTGAGGATGTGTCTGCAAAATGGATATGTGGTGCATGTGCAGGCATAGCCTTTGGGTTTGAACATAAAGAACATGGATTAATTTTTATATTATCTCTAGTTTGGAGAAAAAGGTATGAGGTGGGAAATTGTTTCATCTGCTGAAAACAGCTCTTGGATCTGCTACAGGCCCTGGTTTAAGGCACTTCAGTCAAATGAAAACTAGCAGGTAATTGCAAACTGAAGTAAAAATCCTGCCTTCCGAGGCAGGAAAACCTCCAGTAGCAGAGAAGACGCAGTTTAGTCTCACATCATCTGCTGACGTACTAAAACGTCTAGAGGTTTTTTTTTAGTGTCACAATCTGAAAGGAAATACATCTTTCCGAGTCGTGCAATAGAAAGCTGAATGTTAAACACTGCAGTGATACCTTGTACCTTCAGCGGCTATGCAGTGCACAGTTTTTAATCCCTTTTGCTATTATTGTTCTTACCCGTATCTGAAAAGGGATAACGCTGTAATCCTCAGATCAATTACTTTTTGTGGTGCCTGGCTGTTGCACTATTCATCACAATAGTTAAGCACAATATTTCTGAACCGAAGGGATGTGGAAGGATAATCTGGTTTTGATGCACTGTTATTTTTCTTTCTGCATTTCTAGAGGGATCAAACTCTCTAAGATTGAAGCACTGTTACGTAAAACAGGAAGTGTTTTGTGAGGGACCTGCTGTTCTCGTACTGTAACTGCTCTAAAGGACAGTGAGTACGTCTGAAACTTTCAGACCTTTCCCCCACAGGGGTGAACTTTCTTCCAGCAGCAGATGCAGCCTGAAGTTGTGGAATCACATTCTACAGCAGAGTTGTAGTAGTATGTAGTCTTTAGGCAGAGTTTTCTCTTCTAGATTTGGAAATCAGGCAACATATAAAATGGGTTTTGGTCAGTTTGCAGAATTAGCACAGATAGTGCAGCGAAAGAGCAAGTTTTTTTTTAGTATTGATTTATTTTTTTTAAACAGCTCCCAAGACATAGCACATCCTGGCAGAATATTTAACAGCATTCTTTAGTGAGTTAGGATGATTTAGCACTGTGGATCCCCAATATTATTTTTTTTTCTCAGAAGACAGCTGTCAGCCTTAAGGTTCTTGCAGACCGCATTTCCCAAAACTTTAGTGGTAGATGCTGGAAAAGCTGTTTAGATCCAAGTTGGTTGTTGCTGTGAACAACTTACTCTGGCTTATGTGAATTACAGTGTGGCAGTTTAGATTAAAACTGTAGGGCTGACAGAGAACCTGTTCTGCTTCTGACTTGCTCTGTGACTTTGGATTTCCACTTAATTTTTCTGTCCTTCCATTTTCCTTCTTGTGTAACAGCTGCAGATAAAGCGATTAATTGTTCTTGTGAAAGCATTTTGACATGTACAGTTAAAATGCTGTAGATGTGCTTAATACTGTTACTGTGTTTAATATTCTATGCTGGTTTCTGAAGAGCTCTGTACTGCACACCCAAGAGGCAGAAAATGCCTGTTACTTAAGCATTTATGTTAGGTTTTGTGACCTTTCTCCAGACTGGCAGCTCCCAGAGATGGAGACCAGAATAAAAAGAATAATCAGAGGACAAATCCAGAAACAATCATGAGAAGAAACTGCTGGGTTTCAAACATAAAGAGGGAAGGGGGGGCAGAAGGCAAGAATCTTGGACTGCACTGAAGCCCACTGTGCTTAAAACTCCATTGGTGATTTGGGATCAAAACATGCAGATGGAAGGATTTGTTCGTGCCCCCTTGTTCTTCTAGATGTGTTTTTTTATGTATAAATAGATGTTTTTCTAGCTGTATTTGTTTTAACATTGTCTAGATGTATTCATAAAGTTAGCTCAGATCCCCTCTAGCATGTTCAAAGATGATGTTCTTAGAAGTGGAGAAATTATAGTGCTAATGTGTCCAGGCCTTTGCAAATTGAAGATAACCGCAGACTGTGTGTGTGTCTGTGTTCATGGTTTATGTCTAACTCATGGAAGTGTTTATTTTATTAAAAATTGCAGGCCTTCGACTCCGATGCTTTGGAGATAATATCTGGTGGGGACAGACAGAAGATACTGTCCTTCAGTTGCTTGCTTTCTTTTCTCAGTTTTGAATTATGGTGTATCAGCAGTGTATGTCCTGAATTGCTCAGAAATGTGATTCTGTTGTAATGGAGTTTGTTTGTCAGCACTCCTCTGGACCACAGTCCTCACTAGAGAACAGTGTAATAATTCAGTATAATCTATCATCCTCAGCATTTAGCCGTACACTGTGCAGAAGGATACTTGAGGGGAAGATTGTAAATTTCTGACTACGTGGAAGCTAAATTAGGGGCTACTCAGATCAGTCCCTCTTGCCACTGGAAGCCTTAATACAAACTTGACTTTAATTATAATTGAAAATGTGTAATCTGTGGCTATCCTTGACTGTGACAAAAATGTGCAACCTGAGAAAAAACATTGCTGACTTTGGAGAATCTAGAGATTGGAAAAATAGATATGTTTGAAACAAGCAGCATCTCTAGGTAGTATGAAGGAAAGTTCATGTAGAACTTGCCTATTTAATGATTTGCTCAAACCAGCCCTAAAAATTGAACAAGAAGTGTGCACATGATCTTTCAAATATGTGTTAAGAACCCTGTTTTCTTACCCAACTGTGAGATCGCGGATAGTGGAGTGTTTATGCCCTAACTCATGTTTTTGTTTTTCCCTTCCATTCAGAATCAGGCATCAGCATAGAGCAGTGTGAGCACGTGGTATCCGAGCTCCAGGACAGCATGCGCAAGGCCATTCACCTTTACCGCATGGTGAGTGACGTTGAGACATGGGCTCTGTCACGGCAGGTTGGCTTCGCAGCCCACAAACACTGAAGGTGTGTGCTTGCTGGCTCAAGGTGTTCTCCGACTGGAGAGCTCACAAGCTGCCTGGTTGTCCGCTTGACTGCACCTTAAGCTTGAACCAGGGAGGCAGGAGCTCCCGATTTCCAGCTTTTGGATTTGCCAATAGTTTGTTATGGTACTCTGAGCAAATCAATTAACTTTTCAGTCTGTTTAGCCTATCTGTAAACTGAAGATAACAATATGCTCTTTTTCAAAGGGGTATTAGGGAATTAGTTAATATTTATACAGTGCTTTTGGGATATGAAATATAGGAGCTTTAAGTTTTATTATCCCCATCTGTTCTTTGTGTTTGATGCATGGGAAAAGGATTAGCAAATGTGAGATACCATGGGAATCCAGCTGTGAAAGGGAGCATGCAACCATTCTCCTGTCCCCCTTGCTGCCAGACCAGAGTTACATGCAGAACGATATAACAGCTCTTCATTTCTTTGCTTAGCACTGATCTGTCAGGTCTCCTGTAATGAGTGTGAAACTTCTGGTGAGGATCTGCCATGTGGTCCTCTGCAGCTCTGGCCACAGCACTCTGACCTTGCTCCATTCCTGTGACCAGCTGCATCTGGCAGACAGGAGGGAAAGCAGACTGTGGCCCTGTGCTGCAGCTGGGAAACATAGCACCTCCTTAAGCCCAGTATAAGGGGAACTCTACCCAAAAATGTACTTCCCATCTCTGTCCTATTGGAGTAATGCCTCTGGATTTTGTGTGACTTAGCAGTATTAGGTGCATGCCCTGCCCATGACTAAATAGGCAGTCTTGAACGTTGAAGAAAAGGACACTAGATTGGTCTGTAAATCTTCATGGCTTCATCTCCCTAAAAGGCTGAAACTGCTTGCTTGGTGCTGTACCTACACCCAAATGCATTTTTTTTCCCCTCACCCCTTTTTGTTTTCAGGTGTTAAATAATACAGAATCTTCTACTGACAAAGATAAAATAGCAGGCCTCCTGACAGAAACATTCTCCTCAATGAAGAAAGAATTGGACTCTCTGAAGGATGAGGAAGAGCTTCCAAAGGTTGAGGAGGTACTGGAAAAGCCACAAGATAACACTAACCCATTGAATGAGGGGTGCGGTGCCCATCTACCGAGTCCCAAGGGTTTGGGAGATGAGCAGACACTAGCTTTGCTGGAACAGTACTCGGAGCTATTGCTACAAGCTGTGGAACGACGCATGGACAAAAAGCTCTAGGACGGGTGGCTTTCAGGTGTTTGTGTGTACACAGAAATAATCCCAAGAAGAGGACCACAGAGAGAGCTTCAGACCGATGCTATCATCACACTGGTCTAGGGCTGATGGGGACACCGTTATAAATGGATTTCCTCAGGCTCCTACAACAGACTTGCTCTAATTCTTAGCAATGTGCTGGCCACAGTTTTAATATTTTTTTTCAACTTCCCGTCTCTAAACAAAGTCTTGAAAGAGGAGTTTGGAGAAATTGCCTTGAAGTTTCTTCATAGCCAGTCAGGATGTTTGGCACTTAAAAAAAAAACAAAGAAATTCCAGTTTATCCAAGAAATTCTGAACTGCTGACTAAAAGCAAAGGAGTCCAAGTGAAGCCAATCCTTTCCTCTCCAAGGCTTCAGGAGAATCAAGAAGCAGACTTTTTCTGGGTTTATTTATTAATTTATTTCTCTGACTGTTCCTCTGTGCCATGTTTGTGGCTGTTATCTTTGTCCTTTAAAAGAACTGTCAATCCCTTTGCCATATCCCAGCGAGAAACAATCTCTGTATTATAAACCTCCAACAGGGAGACAGGCTGGAGTGTCTGTGCAATTAATGAACTGTTCTCTGCTTAAATCTTGTCTTGCTGTTCTTTCTTTTCCTGCCTTAGTTTTGTTATCTGCAGTAATCCTGCTGTTGTTTGATGACCCTGTCTGCTTTTCTTTTGTTTCAAGACAGTCCCCACACTGTATTTTATCTGCATTCACTTCCAGGGGAATGCTCTGCATCCCTTGGACCATGCTTTGGAGATTACTTTATGAATTCGTTAGTGGTATTTTTTATCTGAAGTTTGATGTTATATTGATACTTCAGACCAGGTTTTCTGCAGATATTTAAAAATGAGATTTAGATACAATACAAAAGTCTGTTTCAGCCACTTTTCATAATTAGGAATTGGATATTGACTTTGATGTTGTCATGACTAGGAAATTTGAGGTGATGATTTATTTGTTGAGAAGTGACACAGAAAAACTTGTTTCCATCTCTTGCAGTGTAACTCTGGATCTGAGAGATCTTCAGTGTCATGACTCATCCATGTAATTTGTTTCAGTGTGATAGGAAGATGTTTTCTTCTTGCCTTTACAGGAAAACAGAATATTTACATCTGAAGAAAGTTGGGATTCTTTTACCTTTTGTAAAGCTATTTCAACTCCCCACAGAAAATGATTTCCCAAGAACTTCAAACAAGATATTTTGGGGTGTGATTACTACCATTACCCCTACCTCCAGCCTCTTTGCTTTTCATGAACTTCTGGTCTGAGAAACAGAAAATCTTCTCTTCTTGCATTTGTGTGTGCAATATTCTTCTTGCCCTGTGGAGCTTCTCTAAGCCTATGCTAACTTGTGTTTGTTGTGGCTTAAAACTGTCCAGTGATGTTTTCAGGTCAATAATAAGCTAAGAAAAAAAAATTTTAAACCAATGAAATTCTTCAGCACCTTCCCCCTTACTCCCACTCCTTTCAAAAACAAGGGCAGATACACAAAATGTTTTATTTCTTCCATCTGCTGTCTGTCTTGCATTTATTTTAAGGCAGAGCAGTGTAATCCTAGTTTATAAAACTAATGCAAGCCTTTGGTGAGAGAGAGACTGCCATCATCTGTGGAAGTCAGTCAAAGGCAGCCAGACTGCATCACTCGGTTACATAGGTTACATAGGTTGGAAAAATTTTCTTTCATTTTACTGTCCTGGCTATTGTTTCTCTGAAGCCCTATGGCACTTGGAGATGTGGTCTGTTGACTTCTCTGTCTTTCTGTGACTGCACATCTGCAGTGCAGCCTTTTTTCTACTGGGCTGGCCAGACTATTGTAGGATGACCTATTTCTTCCAAATAACTCTAGAGCTGAATAATCTGCAGTTCTCTCTCTCCCCCTAATAGGTTTGCTGCCTGATCACCACTGCTGAGTGCTTCAGGACATGGGAGTATGGGAACACTTTGAGAGCTTTCCAGCTGCTTCTGCCTGTAATTTAAATCTGCCTAATCATGTTTCAGGTGTCCTTGCTAACCTTCCTTCCATGGGCTTGTACTGAAACTTTAAAAGTGTTATTTTCTAGTTCTGTCTCTGCACTGCACTGTGCTGAATCAGCTGGTGTGCTTGGTCCCATGGGCAGCTTCTCTTGCACAGACAGGTTTTGCAAAGGAAGGCAAGTTGAAAACCAGAGGGGAAATGTCTGGCGGTTTCTTTGAGTGAAAAGGTCTGTTGGAGAGGCCGCGAGTGGAATGTATGATGACAGTCATATTGGGTCTGTGATGGGAGTTAGTGTGGATCAAGCTTGCTTTTGAGGTGACCAGTTCCTCCACTTTCAGACTGTGAACATATGTCTTAGTATACAGGAAATCTCTTGCTATACTAGGGCAATAAGACACTCAGGAAAAATAGCAGTCCCTTCAATCTAAGTATCTTTTGGTACTGTTGATAACGGTTTGAGGGTTCTTTATATGACTTCCTTGTGCAATTTTATTCCATTTTATTATTTAAACTTTGAGGTAGTGACAAAAAAGTCAGAGATGGTACAGAAGAGCCAGTGGTGAGAATGAAATTCCCATTAAGATAAAGAGCAACAACCAGTAAAGCTGACATAGAGATGTGGAACAAAGCTCCTTGGCAATGAGTCATGTGAAACAAATCTAGTTTTTAAGCTGATCACAATGGGTTTTATTTCTGGGAATGGATTTTGCTCAGGGTCGTGGCTGTATACAGGAAACCAGAGGTAAAATCTGATCAGAATGATGGTAAGAGAAGTGTCAGGCAAGTAGATCAGCTGGAGAATAGTTGTGTAGTTTAAAATAAATTTAGAATAGTATATGTAGGAGACTCGGGAAAACAGAGTAGAAGTAGAGAGTTTTGGCCTGAAGAACACCATTTGGCCAATACCTGTGAAAGGTAGAGTACCGAAAGGCTTTAGGAAAGTAGGTTTAGGACTTGGAGTTGATGGTCTGTAATTGAAGAATGAATTGGAAGGGGTTTGTTTTTAAAAACGTCCTGTTGGGCCTCTTGTTTCTTCTCTTGCTGTTCTCTAAGCAACTGCTCTTTTCTCAAATGGCAAAGTTGTGGCTGTTTGTTTAAGGCTTTGATGTTATGAATTGAGTAGTAGAAGCCCAGTAAAGGAGATGCTGGTGCCACGAGTTTGTTGGTGAGAGGGATGAGGAGCAGTGTTGCTCTTTATAATTTGAGATTGATCCAACTGATTCTTCCCTACTAACTTCCTATTGCTGGCAGTAGGAAATATTCCTAAACATTCTAGTTTACAGAACAAAGAGATATGTTTCATTTTGTTGCACCTTGTGAGTATGTTTCATCACAGGCTGTCCATTGGGCCGGTAGAGAAATGCTGAATGGTAACTGCATGGGAAGCAAAGAGACTTGTCAGAGGAGGTAATAAATTTGAGTCTATCCTTCTTAATGGTTTATGATCCTCTTACTGATTTGTGTGGGTATTAGCACAGACACAAGATACCCGTGTTAAGACAAGGTATTTGTTTAACATAAAGCCTGTAAAAATAATTTGGACCTACCTATCCTCTTTGCATACATTTTTCCCCCTCCAACCTAACATTCCTGGTCAAAATGAGAAGTTGTAGGGGAGGTTTTTCCATCTTAGAAATAGTACTTCGTTACCCGTGGGACCCCTCAGTTCATTCTAGGGCTCTCTATTGAACTGGGCCAATAGAAAGGGCTGCAACCCGAGAGAGCAGCAAACTCTCTATTTCATGCTGCAGGCGCATAACACCCTCCTCCCCATCCCGCAATTGCACCCAGGAGCTGTGGAAATGGGAATCTGCATTTCTTCCACCTCCTCTCTCAGGTTGTCCCCTCCTTTCCATGCAGCCTCCCATGTGATAACTGGGCCAAGGCTTTACAGCAGCCCCGTCCCCAGTCCCCCGTTTTGCAGACTTCATCATGACTCAGAGGAATTGAGATGTTTCTTTCTGGGAGTAGAAACATACCAATTAAATTTTTAAAAAAGAACGAATATGTATATAAATATATATAAGAAAAAAAAAGAAATGCAGGTATTTAAACACCCTTGGTAAATTCATGCATGTATACAGTGTCTCCCCCCACCCCCATCCCTTTGGATGTGTAGCATCCAGGATACTAAATGACAAGAAACCTCATTAAAATGGTAGACAGGTCGTTTAGCAACCCCGGAGAGAGCACGTGCTTCCTTCTCTGGGTAAGTCCAGCGTGTCCCATGTTTCAGATCGTGTGTGCGAGTAAGCGGGGTCGACTGGAGCTGTGTTGGTGTGTGTAACCTGCTGCGCGGCGCGGCGGAAGCCGTGTGGGGCAGCAGCGTTAGGAACAAGCCATGTGCACCCCGTGTGCCCTGCGTGCGCCTCGCACCGGGCAGGCACCTCCTCACCTGTGTTCTCCGACACTGCCCTTTTCCTTCACCCCTGTAAAAAACGAGACAAGCAAACAAACAAAAAAAAAATCCCTCATGCTTTATTTATAAATGTGTGTTTTTATACTTTTGGCTTTAGGTAAAGTACTTTTTTTTAATTATTATTATTTGGAAAAAATAAAAATTCGTTTGTTGGGTTATTTTGTTTTTGGTTTTGCTTTGTTTGTTTTTGTTTGTTGTTTTTTTTTTTTTTTGCACTGTGAGGCTCCCCCGGGAGCAGTTTTTAACTCTGTATTCATTTGTACTCCGTGTCTTAAACTGTTTCAAATAAACAAGTGACCATTTGTTACCGAGCTGCGCGACCCACTCGCCCGAGGTTCGTTTTCCGGGGGAAGGGGCGGGGAGAAATGGGAGCCGGCGGCCCCTCCTCCTCCGGGGTCGGGCCAGGCATGGCGGAGGGTGAGGGGTTGCGGGCCGTGAGGGGCTGCCTGGCTGCTTTCCCGCGGGAGGCCCGCGGTGAGCGCCGGGCCGGCGGGGCGGGGGCGGGCCGGGAGGCCGCGGGTGGCCCCGCCTGTGACGGGCGCTGGTGCCGGGCTGGCTCCTCCGCGCTCCGGGGGCACGGCCCGCCCGCCTGTGGAGAACAAAGCGGAACGTGAACTGGGGCGCCCACTGTGCCGTCAGCCTCATGTTTTCGAGGTGAAGGTGCAGCAGAAAGGCCGCAGGGAAAAAAACCCCACAACAACCGAAACTCGAGGAAAGGGCTTTTTTTGGGTTGTTTTCCGATGTATAAAACAGCAAAACAAAGCACTACTCCAGCTTCCCATAAACGATCCTGTGGTATCACCTCTGTGTGGGAGTTGTACCTCCTGTAACATATGCCTTTCATCCTCATGGGCGACGGCCTGAGTTTTCCATCTGGCTCTGAAACCCCCCAACGCCCCCTGGGTTTTAACAGAGAATTTCTGGATCCAGTGGGGGTACACCACTCACTTTTGGTCGGCTGCATGTGGTGTGGGATTTGAAGCAGTGTGGTGGCAGGAGGCAATTCTCCCGGGATGCTGAGTAACACTGTTTGTCGTTTACCTGGACAGAGCTGGGGTGGCCGGAGTCTGTACCCTATCTTGATAGGCCTCCATCCCCGCTGGAGTTTTATCGAGAGTGGGTGAGTCCAAATAAACCTTGTATAATTCGCAATGCCATCAGCCACTGGCCGGCTCTGAAGAAATGGACCTCAGCATACCTCAGGTATGAACAAGCTTTGGAGCAGGACCGGTTGTCAATTTCGGCTGACCTCACTAAAAAACCCTTGGTTAATCTTTGCTTTTATTTGCAAGATTAGCTCAGATTCCTCTCTGTTTCTGTATGAAGATGTTCAATCTTTCTAAGATCAGGTGCAAATTTATTCCTTGCAAACATACTGTTCTACCAGTTCTGAGGCAGCCAGGTGGATTGGTGTTTTGGCTGTGTGCAGCCAACAGGCTTAGGCTATTGAAACCCAGCTTGCTGGAGTGGGGCTGTAGCACTGTAAGGACGGACTGACTGGTTCATGATTGAACAAACTTTTAGTCAAAAAACCAAACAATGAGCATTTTAACAATGAATGAATTTTTAAAGAAAAGTCCTTCTTTACAAGGGGATTTATGGTTAGACTTAAAATCTGTGGGTTAGATCTAATGTGTAGGTTTTAAAGCTAAATATCCTATGGAACTAAGGGCTATTAGCTTCATGATATGTGTATCTGTCAGTTTCTGTCCACCCCTTCTCCCTGGTCAATTGTTTTTGAACATGTGAACCCTTGAACTCTTGGATTTGGCTGCGTTGAGTGGTCAAAAGAATATCAAGCTCTGTCATGAGTCATGAAAAGAAGCAGCTGAAGAGGGCCCTCTACCTGCAGGGAGGAAAACAGAGCTCCTTTGTGAACTTCCCTGTTAGGAGAGAATTCGGATGGGAGCAGTTGGAGCAGAATGCAAGAGTCCTTACCAGACAGTAGAAAATGTAATCTAGAGACACCCATCCATGGAAAGACAGCCTTCTTATTTTTGCTGCTCATGAAACATGTTGTTTTTGAAGTAACCAGTATCTAATATGTGGGTCAATTGCAGGGCGGGCTATAAACCTTTGATTTATTTTGCAGGGAGGTAGTAGGTCCCAAGGTAGTGAGTGTGGCAGTAACACCCAATGGTTATGCAGATGCAGTGTTTCAGGACCGTTTTGTCATGCCAGAGGAGCGCCAAATGCCTTTCATGGACTTTTTGGACATTGTGGAGAAGAAAGTGACCTCTTCCAGCGTATTCTATGTGCAGAAGCAGTGTTCAAACCTCACCAAGGAGTTCCCTGAACTTGTCAATGATGTGCAGCCTGACATACCATGGATGACTGAGGCACTTGGTAAACCCTCTATTTCTCCTGTATTCAGTAAATGTTTTGCATGGAGCTTTGAAACAATCACACTGGGTGAAACAATCACTGCTGAATTCTCGTTCTCTTTCTGAATGCCACAGCTCAGTTTGGTTTCATCCTCTTAGAAAGCAGAAGTGGTAGAATACCTAATAAAATAATCCAAGTTTTGGGGTTGGATTGCTTTGCAATCAGGGTCTTGGTTGTGCATTGGGACCCTCACAACTGAAAAAATGTGGTGATAGTGCCACGTAGCACTTTTTTACGTCAAGTGGCTTTTCTCTGATCTAGAGTCTGGTTTTGGCTCAGTGCTCCCAGTATAAAAGGAGGTTTCTGTTGTTCACAGAATGCTATTTGCAATGAAACCTGTCATAGTTACAAAGGAAGTTACAGGACAGAATTTGGCAGAAATTGGCAAAAAATGATTTGAAACGCTTTTAAACATGAGATATATTCTTTGTTGTTGTTGACAGTATTTCTATATTCATACAGGCAAGAAGCCTGATGCTGTGAATTTCTGGCTTGGGGAATCAGCAGCTGTGACATCTTGTACGTACCTTATGGCGCTGTAAGTCTTCTGCGTGCTTTCAGCATAGGTTTAAGAGGGTTTGTTTTGAGTTAGTGGCTCAGGAGGATTGTGTGGTTTTTCTGACAAGACAGTTCTATTTTAGCATGCTTTTTTTTTTTGCATTCTTCCTTCTGCTCTTCTGTGGCCTCTTGCTACTGTGTCTCTGGGTGCATCTACTTAGCATTGTGTCAGGCAAGGCACTGACAATTTATTTTATTCAATGCTTTTGCTACAACATGATGTTGTTACATTCCTCTCCCACTGGCTACAAGAGGAGGAAGCAGCCTGATGATAATAGGACAAGCTGATATTTTCAGTTGACTATAATTTCTGGTGCAGAGAAGGAAATAGCACTGATTTTCTCTCTTTCTCCACATTTTTTTCTCAATCCTAGTACATAAAGATCATTATGAGAACTTGTACTGTGTGGTATCTGGAGAGAAATATTTTCTACTGCATCCACCGAGTGACCGTCCCTTCATCCCATATGGTACATCATTTTACTATGCAATATGTCTGGAAGTTGGAAGGAGGAGAGATTAAAACATAGAAAGATATGAAAAAAAGGAAGCAGAGAAAACATTTTGATGTTTATGCAGTATTACGCTTTCCACTGTGAATAGAAATCTCTTCTATTTCGTGTTTGTAATACAAATGTTATTCTGAGGTCAGGTTTTCCAATCCAGTAAAGTTATAGGCTCATTGATATGCACTTTGAATACTGTCCAGTTCTGGGCCCCTCAATTCAGGAAGGACATTAAGATGCTGGAGTGAGTCCAGGAAAGGGTAGGTTTGTTGGGAATCTAAAGAGTAAGTCCTATGAAGGGAGCTGGGGTTGTTTAGTCTGGAGAAAAGGAGGCCCAGGGGAGACCTCATCACTCTCTACAACTACCTGAAAGGAGGTTGTAGCCGAGTGGGGTCGGCCTCTTCTCCCAGGCAGCTAGAGTAAGAGAACATAGCCTCAAGGTGTGCCAGGGGAGGTTTAGGTTGAATATTAGGAAGAATTTCTTCACAGAAAGGGTGATTGAACATTGGAGTGGGCTGCCCAGGGAGCTGGTGGAGTCATTGTCCCTGAGGTGTTTAAGGAAAGACTGGATCTCGCACTCAGTGCCATGGTCTAGCTGACATGGTGGTGTTTGGTCGTAGGTTGGACTGGATGATCTTAGAGGTCTTTTCCAACTCACTTGATTCTGTGATACTCGTGGCAGTCTCTTCAGCTTTAGAGTATTTAAATTATTCAAGTATCTTGTCAGTATTGTAGCATGTCATCTTTGATAGTTTACAGATTTGGATTCTGCCTGCTCATTCATTTCTTTAGGAAAAAAAGCCAGGAAGGTTAAAAATAAGTTGTAATTTAATGAAACATTCAAGTTACTAACTGAATATCTGAAAACTGGAGAACTGGACAAAGAGATTCTTATTGGCAGCATTGCTTTACATTGCCTGTTTTCTGTTTCTTCAAGTTGCTTTCCTATGTGCACAGCAGTAGTTTGCTTTGTTGCAGCATCATCTAGAAGATGGACAGCTTAACTTTATGCCTCATAAAATAAGGTTTTATTTTTCTCATTCCTTGACTTTCAAACCATTGGGTTAAGTGAATGCAAGGTGCTGCATGACACACATATAATTTTGCCTAGATATGTGAGCTGCTACAGTATTTACTGCTTTTATTTTGTTTACAACCTTGAAGTCATAGAATCAGATAATGCTTTGGGTTGAAAGGGACCTTGAAAATCATTGAGTCAATTCCTCTGCCATTCAGTAGACCAGGTTGCTCAAAGCTCCATCCAGCCTGACTTTGAACACTTCCAATAATGGGACATCCACAACTTCTCTGGGTAACCTGTTCCAGTGCCTCATGAACCTTATTGTAAAAAATGTCTTCTTTATATCCAATCTAATTCTACACTGTCTCAGTATGAAACCATTGGCCTTTGTCCTGGCACTACAGGCCTTGGTAAAAGCCTTTCTCTGTCTTTCATATAAGCGCCCTTTAGGTACTGGAAGGCTGCAATAAGGTTTTCCCAGCACCTTCCCTTCTCCAGGCTAAAAAACCCCAACTCTCTCAGCCTTTCTTTGCAGGAGAGGTAGTGTTGCATGTATGTGAATGTATGAAATACTTGTGTGTGATACAAATCATACTTTGTAAAAAAAGTTACTGTTAAAGCATAGAACAGAGATAATGCTAACATTTCATAGCGTGCAGTAAAAAGACAATTCCGTCTTTTTGAGCATCAGGTTAATTAATGGAGAGAAACTCTCTCAAGGGAGGGCTTGGAAAGCCACATACTTAAAGAAAAGCAACCAGCAGTTTCTAAAGCAGTTGATGAGCCCCATCAATTAAAATTAAAAGTGAAACGCTGGCCATGAGTCACTAATAACCCTTCTGAGTGCTTCCTTGCTAGACTGACCTAAGAAGAAACACCTGAGTATAGAATGATGTGTAAGACAGGGATGCATTTATGACTTCTGAAAAGGAAAGAAGGCTGGAACAAAATAGGCCTGGGATACAAATGGGCTTTGGGGAGAATTCCTGTGAAGAAAGAAAATTGGAATTCCGAACAGGAAGGCAGCTTAGTATTCAGACTGACTTAAAAAAATTATTAAGAAAATGGATAAAATTTGAAATAGAGAAAGGGAAGGATAGTGAGTACAGTAAGTTGAAAAAGGTTTTGTCCTAATTTTTCTTTTACTTGGTGAAAGTGTGACATGCCATTAGTTTCTCTGAGTTGTGCCATTTAATTCTTTCTCTCGTTCCAGAGCTCTATCAGCCAGCAACCTACCAGGTATCAGAAGATGGCTCGTTTGAAATTGTGGATGAGAAGACTGCAGATAAGGTAAAAAGTTTATAAAGAACATAATCAATATAGTAGAGAGCCCTCAAACTGAGCATATTGATTGATATTTAGAAATCCTTTATTACTGGGAAGAGAATGCCCAGATATTTCACTTGTATTTTACTATTTGCAAAGGATACCCAACTTCAAAAAAAGATTTATTACTGCACACCTGAAACCATTGATAGCATAAGCTATCTTCCATGCACCAAACTTACAGTTCCAGTTTTAAATGCATCAACAATAAACAAATTGATTGCATTCAGACTGAAATAGACCCCTCTACATTCACTTTCTTTTGACCTCTACTCAGATCTACATTTTGCTCTACAGTGGTATCACCCAGTGCAATAAAACATATCTGTCTCAATGAATAAATTGTGTTTTCTTAGTAGTAGCACTGTTTATTTGATTAAAAGGAGGCACTTCACAAAACCTCAGTAGAATCTAATCTCTTGCCTTTTACCTCTGCAATGTGTGAGTAATGCTACAACAAAACTTGAGCTGGGGCTTGTTCTCTGTTTCCAGAATGTTGCTCGTGGAATGTCATTCCTGTAACGCATTAAGGTGGAGTGCTGAGGTTAATAATTCTGTAGGGCATAGAAGAAATTAATGCATGCAAGAGGGATTTTCCAGCAACAAGAGGTGTTTTAGTTGCTGGGAATAAAAATTAGACCAGAGAGCTTAAGAAGAAGAAGAAAGGAATTTATAAAAAGACTGGTGCAGATAAAGTATTTAAGTACTGAATGTAGGAGGAACGAGTGACTTAAGGGGCTGGAGGTGTTTTGAAAGTATACCACGAGACTGCAATCTCATGGATGACATTTATCACCTTTTCCCTATTTAGAAATCCATCACTGAAGGAGGCAAATTTTTGCATCCTTGACCTGCTCCCAATTGCATGTGGGAAACTGTGTAGCTGTACATGTTTTGCTAGATAAAGTACATGTTTTGTAACCTAGTAAGTTTGACTATCAATTGATTTTCTGGAAGCTTGCTGGAATTTTTTGCCAGGGTCAGTACCATATACACATTCTGTTGCCTTCAGGTGCCCTGGATCCCTCTGGACCCCTTGAACCCCAATCTGGAACTGTATCCAGAGTATGCTCAGGCACAACCTTTGCAGTGTACAGTGAAAGCTGGTGAGATGTTATATCTGCCTTCTCTCTGGTTCCATCATGTTCAGCAATCACATGGCTGTATAGCAGGTAAAAGACACAGTATTTCCAGATACATTTTTGAACTGTGGTGGGTATGCAGCTAGATATCCCACAACAAAGCATCAGATAACTTTCAAGTTATCTGCCTCTCTGCAGGTTGAAATAACAATCTCAGCAGATCCCATGGGGCTACCTCCTTGCAGCCTGTTTTGTGTATAATCAGTAGCTTGGTTGACAAGTGCTTGGGATGTAGCAGAAGACAAAGCTTTTCTAGTTGTGAGGTCTGAAGAAGGATAGCTAATGCAGTGATCATGATCCAGTTTCTGTTTAAGACATGGAGTAAGCAGTTTGTCTGTCTAACCTGCTAACTGCAACTGGTCATCTATATTTTGCGAAGAAACTGCATGTAGCATGTGGCATTATCACATGGCAAAAAAGCCCGAAACCCTGGAGGAAGAAAAGGAAAACAGAAAGTGAATGACTTTTGGGCATAGATGTAGACACAACATGAAAGATACTCTGTTTTCATGTGAGCTGAAATGTTCTGACCCAGTCTCTTATCTTGCTGATAATCCTGTGTTTGTTATTGTTCCCCTGCACTTATCAAAAGTCTTGTTGTCTCTTTATTTGTAGGATTTATCATCACCTCTATATCCCTTTTTTTTTCCTTCCCCAAGAGAGTTCCAGAATTGCAAACATTGTTCTTTTGGTGCAGGTGGAGAGGTGGGGATACTGCAAAATATTATTGTCATGTCATGAAAGCTTTGCAAGGTTTGAGGAAGGGATTTTTGCTGTCCTTTACCTGGAATAATGCTGTCTGTCAAGAAAAAGTATTTTGAACAACACAACATTAGTATTAGTGTAACACTGCAAATATTGCAAGCCCTTTTTGTCAGTACTTGTGATTCTGTGATAAAAAGACAAGCCACCAGTAAAGCAGTATTTCTGATTCTCTTTCCCCAGTGCTGTTGCCTCAGTCCTCTAAAAAATCAGAAGATGTTTTAGAAAAAGTAGTGTTGTTTCCAGCTGCAAGCCTCTGGGCACTCTTTTTTTCTGCATTTAGAAGAAATGCAAAAGAGTTTGAGTTTATTTGACCTTTAGTCTGTTTACCACAGTACAGTCTGTACACACTTGAAAAATCAATATTCTCTGGGTCTGGTCCAGTGAATGTCTGAAGCTAGAGTATATCCTCCTCCAAGAAGCATTGATACAATATTACACTGCTTGGTTTAATTTTTCTAGGAAACATACACCAAAATTAACACAAGAAGCAGAACTAAAGCACTGTCTAATTGATGGCCATTGTGAAGTAGTGGTGAATTTGCGATCCTTTATACGGGAAGAAGGGTTCCTATCCAGATATTAAACTTTGTGGTTTGATATTTTTTGTATAAACAGAACCATATGTTTTCTATTCCAAAACATTTTGTCAGCTTGTGCTTCAAGGAGTCTCCACTATAGAGTATGAAGAGGAGTAGGTTTGGGTTAAGAAAGAGTTGCACTGGCAGCACTATTAAAGAACACCATTGTTCGCTTATGTTATTTTTGGCTGTAGTCAAAGATTTGCTTATTCCAAAGTTCAGTCTGTAATGAGGAAAAGCCTGTACTAACTGAACTGTGTATAAGTCTATGAACATATTTGTAAATCATTACATTCTAGCTTTAGAAATGTTTTTCCTTTTTCTTGTCTCCTCAGTGAACTATTGGTATGACATGGAATATGACCTTAAGTACAGCTATTATCAACTACTAGATGGTCTCACAAAAGCTGTGAAAACGCTGTAGCAGAGATGGGAGACTCGAGCGTGTGATCTCTCTTTTTTGATGCGATACAATCGTCAGCATCTTGTGACTGGAGTATGAACGTGACTCACACAAAAAGAACTCAATTATCGTCAACAATGCCTGCCAAACAGATCATGGCTACTTTGCTTGATTCCAGAGTCCAGATCAACTGGCCAGATTTTTTGGCTTGTCAGGAGAAGGTTTGATAATAGCACTTTTAGGCCTTTGCATGTAGCCTCAGTGATGGCGAGCAAAATAGAATTTGAAGGGAGGCAATCCAGGTTTTGAAAATCCCAAAACAGAAGCCCTGACTGTTCAGATCTACACATTTTTTGCATAAGAACCCAAGTGGACAAGGAAGGATCTGCTCTGCCACTCACCTGTGCATCAGGCTGCATCTGTCCAACACAGGCATTCTGCTTAAGGCAAAAGTCCTGCACAATTGTAATTCACTAAGTTCAGTGGCTCTGGTGTTTTAATGGTGGGAAACTACAACTTCTGGAATAAATAGGTCAGTTTAAAAGTTTATTTCTGTACTGTTTTTTTCTCCCAAATGATATGATGGCTGAAGGACACCGAGGAGGTCATGCAAAACTCAATGGCTATTTTCCATGTTAAGCTAATAGTTTTTATTGCTGGTTTTTACTTCTTTCCACTGTTGTATTTAAATGTAGCTGGATTCTCTTTCATCCTGAGGGGTGATTTTAGAGTTTCCTTGCCAGATTTACAGTCCATCTGCACATCATCTATGGTCTTGTGGCATGATGTGTGATTCTGCAGGCTTATTCTGTGCCAATAATTGCTGCCTAACACGTGGTCAGGCGAGATGTGTGAATCAGCAGCCTATTTCTGCAACCTCAATTCACATTTGTATTCCACAGAATGGGTTGAGACTACTCACATGTCTGAGACCCACAGAATAGGACTAGAAGGCTATTAAATACACAAGCACTGCAAAAGTATAATATAAGTAATATTAAAAAAACCAAAAGATAGTGTTTATGGTGAAATCTTCAAACAGTTCCTTAGAAACATTAGCAATATAGGGAAAATTTATTTTCCATATATTAATTAGGAAAATACAGATACCCTTTAGACAAGATTGATTGTGAAGAAAAATGCAGGGTTTTTTTTTTTTACTTTGTCTGTTTCTTTTGTTTTTTAAAGAAACATAGCATAAAATTTCATTTTATCTTGGGGTACTTGTCCAAAAATTGCTGAAAGCTCAAAAGGAATTACAAGCAGGCTTTGTTTTGCAGCTAAATTAAGATCTCGCGTTACTTCAGACTTTCCAGCTTGTTTGTGTTTACTGTGCCTTGGCAGAGGTGCCCAAGCCAGTTCTGCAGTCAAATCTTGAATTTCCTGCAGTTGGGGTGGAAAGACAATTTGAATATCTTTTTGCTACTTTGAGGATTTTAATTTAGTCTCTTTCTCTAATCAAAAGTAACACCACACGCCAAGAAGTGACAGCTTGTGTCTGCGCAAGTGGACGGTGTTAGTGTGCCACCTCTCTGCCGCAGTGTCTGGAGAGAGGCGTGCTCTGAACTACGTCTCCCAGCAGCCCGCGCTGGCCGACTGAAGGAAGTAGTCACGGTGGTTCTTCCTGAACTTTGAGCAGAGATTTTAAGCCTGAGAAGCGACGATCTGCTGACAGTGCTGTCTCACGCAGTTTCACGCGACCCGTGTCTTGCCACAAGAAAGGTCCGCTGGGATGGCGGTGCAGGTGTTGGTCCTGCCTTCCCCCAAGTGTCTGTTCGATGACCCTGTGCAGATCCGTGTGGTGGGTCTCCGGCCACAGCAGGCGGTCACCCTTCGAGCCAGCCTGGTGGACGAGAGCGGGGAGCTTTTCCAAGCCCACGCTCACTACAGAGCTGGGAGCAGCGGAGAGCTCGACCTCAGCTGCTCCCCAGCCCTGGGGGGCAGCTATTTGGGAGTAGAGCCGATGGGACTGCTGTGGTCTCTGCAGTCTAAAACGCCCTACAAGCGGCTAGCAAAGAGGAATGTCCTGACCCCTTTCTGTGTGGACTTGGAAGTGTATGAAGGCCATGGGGACATAAGCCGCTTGCTGGGAAAATGCACCAACGAACGATGGTTTTTAGGAGAGGGAGTGAAGAGGATTTCAGTCAGAGAAGGTCGTCTGAAAGCAACCCTCTTCCTCCCTCCTGGTGAGTTTTAATTCCATTCTGGTTTACCAGGTGTGACTTACACCACATATTGTGCCCCGTGTCCCCTGGATGCACTCAGCAACTCAGAGCAAAGCCTCAGCTAATGATTCCCTCAGCCTGTGCGTGATCCAGATACTTGGATCCTCACAGCAGAGCAGGGAGGAGCAGGTGTTGCCCAGTCGGGTCAATGGCTGAGGCAGGGGTGTGGTGGTGCAGGAGGGCAGTGGTGGTAACAAAACATGTCTCCTGATTCTTCTAGTTGAGGCAGGTTGGGACATCTCCTGTGGTGAGAGCTCTGGCAAAACTGTCTTTATTTCTTAGCTCTTCTGTGTAGCTGACGGGACAGAGAGGCCCCTGGGCTTTGGCAGAGCTGTGATATGTGACAGCTCTGGCTGTGGAGTGAAGACACACTTCTGGATGAGGCATGGTGGGAGCACTGAACTCAGGCTGCAGCCAGCCTAGGCTGCTCCAGCAGCTGCCACAGATCTTCCTGCAGGCTCTGGACTTGTATCTCTGTCTCTCTCTTTAGCTAAGGAAAAGCCAAAGCAAGAAGTCTCTACCTGGTTGAGCAGCTGATCTGCGTGGGATATTTAGGAAGATGGGAGACAAATGGGAAAATGAAGGTCTTAAGTAAACTGGTACCATATTCCACAGCTTCATCAGAGACAGTGCTGAGACTGGATCCTGTGCAAAGCTGCTTTGAGCCGTGAAATGTTTCAGTTTCTTGAGCAGAACTTAAACATGGCTGTCTTGCTCTGTAATTAATAAACAGTCCCTTACAGCTGTTGCAACATCAAAGCTTGTAAGGGAAGTCTGGCTATAAGAATGAGCAGAGCAGCATCAGGAAAGGAACGTCCTATTGCTGCAGGAGGAGAGCTGAGAAGCCCGGGGTAGTTACCTGTCTGAATTGACGTAGATTAGTGCTGGTATTTGTGAGTATATTTCATAACCCAAATATTCCCTCCCTGGCAAACCTAGCACAGTTCCTGAAGAAGTGCTGCTCATGCAGTAATACTGTTTATTCATTGATCCCCAGTGACCTGGAAGCATCTAGGCCAATGTCAGCAAAATCCATGATGGGAGAAGGATGTCCAACCTATGACTTCCTGTAATGAGTTTCTAAGGGAGAGAAGAAATATCCAAATTCATGTCCTTACAGTGACTTTGTGTGTGCCTGAGAACAACAGCCACCACAAAAAGCTTCAGAGGATGATTTCTTCTGATATCTACTGATGTGTGCTGAGAGGGCACCACTGAAATGACAACTGTGGGAACTTTTCTCTTTGTTAGTACACTTTGCTATACATACCCCTTTGTTGCAGGACCTGGTCTGTTCCCTGGACTTATTGATTTGTATGGATCTGGAGGAGGTCTTGTTGAATACAGAGCAAGTCTCCTGGCTAGCAGAGGCTTTGTGACCCTGGCTCTTGCTTACATGGCCTTTGAAGATATCCCTACTACTCCAGAGGTTCTTGAACTGGACTATTTTGAGGAAGCTGTGAAATTTTTGCAGAAGCAGCAGCAGGTAAGAGACAAATTATGGTGCTCTTCCTGTTGGTAACTATTTTGCAGTTTTCTAGTTGGAATAGTGTATGTCACTGAATGCAACAAAGTTTCTGAAATGTTAGAAGGAAACAAGGTTGTCTGAAAGACAATGTGATCTTGAGAGATGGAAAAGCATGTGCTTCAACTCAAATTTTGCACGTAGCTGGGTAGCTGGTTTTGCACAGCATCTTGTAACAGTCCAAAACATGCTGGCAAACCAGATTTGTGAAAGATTAAATCAAAGCAGTTCCTGGACTAGAAGTACAAAACTGCTTAAGCAGTAAATCTTAATTTTCCCCAACTTTTGCATCTTTCAAGATTTTAGAGGGGAAAACAATCCATTGACTATATTACAGGCTATTGATTCTGTACCACAAGTGTCCTTCTAAAGTTTCAAAAGACAATAATAGAAAACTTTAACAAAAGAATCCCTTTCAGTTGTAGCACTGGAGGGTGTGACACATCTTAAGCTGAGGCTGTATTTGAAAAAGTGTGTGGGATGAAAAAGACACTTAATAGCAGTGTATCATCATACTTAACTCAAAAGTGACCAAGAGATACTATGTAGCATTAAAATTTTAATGGAGTGCTGCTTAAAAAGGTATTAATTTCACAAAGTTATTTCCTTTCTAGCACATGGACACCAGGATTGTAGCCAGTGTGAGAGCGGAATTAAGCCTTGCTTATCTTCTTTCTCTTAGAGCTCTGAAACATCTAGAATTCGATATAAAGGACCTTCACTATATATCAGTTGATTTAAACAGCTGTTGGGGTCACTGAGCCTCAGGTGTAATGAACCTTACATTTTCTAAGGCAAAAGAGAAAATAACAGGTCAGCTGTAGAAGAGTATTAAAAAAAATGGCAATAAAGAAATTTAATGCAAGTAAACCCATGAAAAAGTGGTTTGGAGATAGGAACAGTAAAAGATTCCATATCGAGACCGAGTGTCTAGCCAGGATGTGGAGGGAGCAAAGAGACTTTGTAGAGGTCATCAGGAAGGAAAAGTCTTACAGGAGGAGAGATGTTGAGGAGTTGTGGAATTCATAGTCACTCTTGTGGAGCCTCAGCAAAGGGATAGATGAAGGATTGATATAACCTGAACAGAGAGAGGGAAGGGGCAAAATATAGGTGGTCTGAGAGGGATGAGTGAGAAAGCAGAACATTATGTCAACTCGGGAAATAAGGAGTAGTTGATAATGTTTTCATAACTCTGTTTCAGGTGAAAGATACCGGGATTGGTGTTTTGGGCTTGTCCAAAGGAGCTGATCTAGCCCTTTCCATGGCCACATTTGTACCTGGCATCAAGGCAGCTGTCAGCATATCTGGAAGTGGTTTTAATTCCTTCATTCCCCTGAAGGGGAATGGCTTCACTATTCCTCCCCACCCATATAATCTGGAGAGGATGAAGATCAGTGATGAGTCTGGCCTAGTAGATTTTTCAGATGTCTTGGATGATCACAGGGACCCAACAACTTGGGATTGTCGCATTCCAGTGGAGAGGTCCTTAGCCAAGTTCCTGTTCTTGTCTGGACTGGATGACACAAACTGGAAAAGTGACCTCTATTGCCAGGATGCTGTTCAGCGCCTTCAGCAGTGTGGACGGGAAGTGGAGTTTTACTCCTATTCTGGAGCAGGGCACCTCTTGGAACCACCATACTTGCCTCTGTGCCAGGCTTCGATCCACAGAGTGCTTGGGATGTTTGTGTGTTGGGGAGGGCAGTGGAGAGAGCATGCTAAAGCCCAAGAAGATGCCTGGCACAGGATACAGGCCTTTTTCCGGCAGCATTTGATGGACTCAGACATTCCTAAGAGCAA